ATCCTGTGGGTTGGTACAGTGTGCATGCCCGGTCGCATGGTGACTGTCAGTGCCCCACCACATACCGTAATCCCAGTGTGCATGCCCGGTCGCATGGTGACTGTCAGTGCCCCACCACTCCCAACTCCAAGCAATCGACAAGTTATCAAGTTCAGCATGTTCGGTTGAAGGGTTTACTAGGCAATTCTCACAAGCCTCATAAACCCATAGGAGATGTGTATGATAATTTATTAATGTATAATTTCTTATATAAATGCATATAATTGGGCCATTCCACCAAACGGGTGCCACTTGTGTCCCCAGGACATTATATGTTTAAATATGCATGAAAAGTAGCTTTATAATACATGCTATTATCAAGCAAAGTGTCCTCCACAATGTCCTCATTGCAAATTTAACAAACAATGTAAAACATTAATGAAAACTACCTAGAACGCTGAAGAGTGTCACCTGTCACTGCTCACTAGTGCAACACTTCACCATGAAATATGAGTAAAAACCTTCAAAAGTCTTATCCTGTTGAAAGTATTTCACATTTATGCTTTAAATACATTTTCCTTATATTAAAATTAATATGCTAATTAAAATATACATTTTACTAGTGCCCCCAGGTTTTCACTTAGTCCCGTTACCCGAATACATTTCTGCCCCTAAAAAAAATTTGACACATTCCATGTGTCATGGTCAACTGCAACTTCCATCATCTCAGTGCCCAGAAGACCACAAGAAAACCAAAAGTTCTCTCTCTGATAACATTGTGTGTCTGAGGTGGTTGAACTCAACGCTCAGTCCTGTTAAAATTATTTCTTGGATTTATTAAAAAAAATATTTCTGGTAAGTTACTGTTATGTACTCAATAGTATTACACTATCAGGTTTTATGACATGTGGCTATGGTTCATGAACTTACTAATGTTATGATAAAACTCAGTCCTGTTACTTTCTGCCCTGTTACTCAGATTGAGAAAAATAAAACTTGCACATATATATAGTGATTTTTTCCCCCAGAAACATATATTTTGTGACCATGTGACTAATCATTTCTTTAAAATAACCACTTTATTGAGGGGGGTCACAAAAGAAGTAGCTGATATGATTTTCAAATGATATTTAAACAATTTACTCAATGTTTTGGTAAAGAAATTGAGAAATATGCAACCATGTTCCAAAAATGAGATGTTACCTGAGACTGACTAGTGCACATTTTAAATAGTGACATATGTTACTAGATTCAATGTAGAAAAAGATGAAAAAATGGAAGCTTAGTTTTGAAGATTTATAACAAGCAAATGGCACCAATTCGGTGGAATCACCTAGTTACATTATTGTTGATGGTTATCACTGTTTTTATTACTTAATTTTTTTTGGTGTAAGTTACTAAGCTTTGGTCTTTCATTCCCCTAACCCTGTTTTCCCCATTGGATATGCATATTTCAATACACCATTTTAGTGAACACAAGGTTTTTCAGGAACACTTTAGTTAGGATGGATGGACTTTAGTAGTAGCAAGACTGACTATACTAATTCGCATACATGTAGATCTGACTGCCAGACTTTTTTTCTACGCCAAGAATGAGTGGGTTACTTTTCCTTTTTTGCTACCTCTGAGGTCTTTAGAAAACAGCTTGCATCAGGGATCATAACACAAGAACAAGACTGAGGTATATCTATGTAAAGCCCAGGAGTGAGGAGTGTCGGGTGAAGTGGACAGAAGGCAGGGGGGAGATGTCTTTAGTGAACAGGCCATGGTACCTCTGTGCTGAAGGTCAGTTCGTAACCCAGGGTGGAAACATCATTCTCCAGCAGGTAGACCAGACCCTGATAGAAGTGGTAATCCTCACTCTCCATGTCCGTGTACCTGGAAAAACATAATTCAGGCATTATGCATGCTAACCTATAAACAAAATGTTGGCACATTCACAATGGAAGTGTACTGACATTCCAGTGCATATGAATCAAGTAGTACTGCTAAAACTGTTCGTAATATAGAAAATCAGCGCTCTTGTGGTTAAGGATTCTGGTCTTTATATCCCCATTAAGACAACAAACTGACAGGAGAAACAAAGAAGAGTGGAATATGGCATCCTTGATTGACCTGTTGAGGTGGTAGGCAAATTGCACAGGGCCCATATGGTCAGGTACGATGTCTTTAATGTGTCCCAGCACTTCATGACAGAGTCAGTGCTACTAAGCAGCGATAATTAAGGCAGCCCACTTTCTTCTTCGTGGGGACAGGGATAATAGTGTTTAAGATACCATTTAAAATCAAGTAATATCTGAATCAACAAATTGTAGCACTGAAAAGTGCATCGTCGTACATTAACAATGTTCATGGTAAGGCACAACAACGCATCTATTTTCTTAGTGGACTGAGATCTTCTGACCAAGCAGCCTGATCTTTTTACCCCACATCCATTAATGCATGCATTGCATGCTCTGAGCACTAAGTTCTGGCTCAAAACCAAAGACTGCAGACACTGCATTTGCTCTGAGATTGCGGGCAGGCAGCTTGAGCAGCGTTTCTCCAGGGCTGCCGGAAGGGCCTGATAAGAATTGTGTGCAGTATTTACTCAGAACCCCTGGGTGATAAACAGGAAATATTATTAGGTTAATGCTTTCAAACAATTTCCATGGACACACAAGAGCTGCAGAGTTCTGAGTAAAATGTAAATCATGATTTTTTTCACAACTAAACAACTGCCTATCTTTATAACACTAATGCAGAGATGTGCAATATATCGGTTAACATTGGTATTGCCTGACACTCATTAACAAAACTGACATTGGCGTGTCAGATGTGTCAGTCTGGGCCAACTTCATTAATATTCAGTAAGCAGCACAAGGAGTAAAGATTATTAAAATAATGGAGATTATTGCCCTGGTCCATCAGTCATTTGCAGTAGTGGAGGACAAGGGGATTCGTACAAGGGGTCTCAAAATGCTGTTCTGCAACGTGTTTATAATTCATTATTAAATCTAACCCACAGACTGATCTTGGTTTTCACAGAATAAATAAAATTAACTTCATTCCTTTAAATCAGATAAAATCGGCAAGCTTGGTGAATTTCACCACCAGCAACCAACCCCGAGTATCAGCGTCTGTGATATTATAAAGATAACAGTTATTGGTATCGTTCAAAATTGCTACATCAGTGCACCACTAATATGGTAATTTCTAACATGTGACTGTTACATGAACTTTGTGGAAGAGTAAGGACGCTCCAAGTTTTCAACAAATAACTCATTTCCAAATGCAAGATATGCTAAAGATGCCAAACTTAAACCAAACTAAAACCAAACTTAAACCTAGTCTGCTCTTTATGTATTCCCGTTTCTCTGCCCCCTCTTCCTGTCATATGGTGTAACACAGCCCTGTTATTCAATGTTACAGCTGAGAAAAGGGGAGTGCTTAGTGTCATGTAGTGGATCTCCTGCAAATGCAAGCACGGCAGAATCCGTGTCATGCGAGAATGAGCTTACATAGGGGTACGAATAGAGATCATAATTCAGCCCTGTAACAGCAAAAATGTCATACAGAAAGTGTACTGTGGCAGAAAAAAAGGTACGGAAAAATTGCTCTAGAATGAAATCACACAGGGGTATGAATCTGGATCGTTATTCAAAACCCATTAATCATGCAACCCTACTCAGCAGGTCTTAAAATTCATTCATTCCACAATCGTTCTTGTTAAACACAACGGGCTATGTAAAAGATGTTTAGGAAAAAATGTATTCCCAGGATGCCTCATAACCCCTCCCCCCATCTAATCCCTACTCCTCCCAAAAGCCCCGATACCCTCTCCCCACCTCTCCAAAAATCATTATTAAAGCCCAATTGTGTGACTTGTCCCAATGCAAAAGTTCACAATCTCTGTGTCTGTCCTTTAATGTGTCCCCACACAGATTGTTTCAAAGTAACACATATAGATATACAGTACTGTGCAAAAGTCTTAGGCAGTCCAAAGAAATGTTTAAAGCTGTTTATCTGGGTAGCAAGTGTACTTTGGCTTAGAACAAAAAACACAATTTAACATGCAAATTAAGAGTAACACAATAAAAACTAGTCATTTCTTCAGTTTTCTAAAAAGTTACTGATATCTAGTTGGATGGCTAGATGAACACCGCGTCAGCTTCCAAACCTCTCCTCAGGGACACCTCAGCCGCTCCATGAGTTTGTTAAATTTCAGCAACAGCTCAATTAAATAAATACTGGGGTGATTTTAGCAGAGGTTCTGAAATGGCTAAGCTGACACACTTTGACAGGCAAAATATCAGTTTTACACCAACGCGAGGATAATCTAAACATCATTTTCTTTGCCTGCCTAAGACTTTTGCACCGTACTGTAGAAGTTTTTTGTGAATTGCATGGAATATTGTGCAATCTACAGCTGCTTTGCCAATTGGAAATACTATGTGGCACTACTTCAATTTTGGTGAGATCTGTATCAAAATAAAATTTCGCTCCATATCCATAAAACGTTTTTGTGAAGTGGTAATAAAGTCCATCATACATTTTGAGTTCAGGTTCACAAGGCCAAGTGTCTTCTGTGGTTACCATTCCCTCTGCTGCCACTAAGGGGTGCTGCATTAATTTTGGTGCTATTTGTCTCAAAATTCAATCAGTTCCAGACCTTCTCCTACCCAAAGGTTCTGTCAAGTTTTGAAAAACACCTGTCAAATACTTAGAATTATTGTGCTGATACGTTAAGTGTCTGCTGTGGTGGACAGGTCCAAAAACCATATGCACGCAACAAATGCTATTTTCTGATTGATTGGTAGGTGGCTAGTAACCAACTCAACTGGGACAGCTATGAACTTGGTGGAAAACTCCTCTTCGTATGCCTGCGTCTCGTACAGTAATTATATATAACGGGGCACCTCAGTTATCCCTTCTCAGAGTGAGAAACACAAGGTGTGGCGTGTGAGCGTGTGAACTGGTTGAAATACGTGTGTCTCACAGTCAATGCCCTGATTGAGAGCCCTGATCTTACTTATACTACCTGCGACGTTTATAATTCATAAGTAAATCTGGACAGCAGATGGATCTTCCATTTTCCACAGAATAAGAAATAATGTAACGTTATCCTGCTAATAAGCGCTGGCACGTTGCTCCGCCGACACCGGCTGGAGACGCATGCAAAAGGTACTCAATTGTATTGAAGTACACAAAAAAAAACAACAACAACAACAACAACAACAACTACATCATCTACTTTGTCTTTTTTTTCTTCACTTCCATGCAACTTCCACTTTAGCCCCAGTGCTTGTGGTCAAGAAATTTATTCGGCAAATTTATTACTGCAAGCGTTAAGATAATTTATTTTTCAATCCTCGGTAGGATTGGAGCATTTCGGTTGGTAACACAACCCTACCTATTACGATATTTAGACGTTTAACATATACTTACGTACCGTTACGAATTTGCACAACTGCACTTTCATTTTAGAAGATATATATTGGATAACTGCATTAATGCAAGTCAAAAAAACAGCTAAAGACTGAGCACTTTCTGTACCTGACACTCTTTCCCAGGATGTGCTTGTAGAAACTGCGTGTGAAGTAGCACTCGAGCAGCCGGTTGTCATACACAGCCTTGGCGACTACACGTCCCACGAACTTGAAGTAACTGAGGTGGTTGGGGTTGCAGTGGGATGATGGATTAATGGTGTAGGTCACTCTGTCTCCAGGAGAGGTACGGAAGAGCGCGTACATAGGATTGAACATCTCCCTGGAGATGATCATATACCACTCTCGCAGTAGTCCGCCGGCATCCTGACCCTCCTCTCCCTCGAATACGATATAGCTGGAAGACATGGTAAGAGTTACCCTCAACAAGCACTCAAGGCAGTACCATCAGTACACAGTCAAAATGCAGATGAACATTCCTGCGTATTTAGTGAAGTGTGCATGAGAGAATGTGTAATTCAGAATTAACTCACAGTCTGTTCTTCATCTCCTCTGGGCTCTTGCGGTGCAGCTCCCGATAGGAGTCCTCAAACACGTGGTCCCTACGCACATGCACCGCCATGTCCTCCTTCCGCAAGCCCTCATCCAGACGCTCCAGCTCCTGGCGGAAATACCTGGGGCAGAAAGACGCATGACAGGATGCGTTAGGCACAGTTCAACTAGTATGCATACATGAGTGGAGACAGACTGGGTGAAGGGTGGGGTCATACTTGCGCTTGACGTCAAAGTCTAAGATGCGGATATAGTCAACAAGCACGGCAAAGGGACCGTCTGCCAGGTGTGTGGTGGACTGGCGGAGGATCTGGTTCAGCACAGTGCGGTGAGTCTCTGTCAAACAGGAAAGACTGTGAGCACTGCGAGATGGGGCTGAATACAGTGGGGAAATACACAACACAACATTAACGACCTCCAAATGAAGCGGAGGAGTGTGCACTGACTCACCGGCAAAACGCAAGAACTTCTGCGTGTCGGAAGGCAGGTTGGCAGAGATATGCATGGAGGATGGCTCGCGGGAGAAGAAGGGGTCTAGGGAGGAGGGTGTCGCTGGCGTGAGCGGCGCTGGGGATAAGGGCGGAGGCTCATCCTTGATGTGGGACAGCTGGCTCTCCCGCGTGTCTCGCACCGGCGGCTTGCTCTCCCGCTCAGTGGCATGCACCAGGAAAAAAGCTTCCACCGCTGGCTGCAAAACTGCAGGGGCAAGACAGTAGCACAAAAACCAGCATTCATGACATCAGCTATCAGTCTGTTCATCGTTACTATAAACATTATATTACCGCTATGAGAACGTTTATCCGGCTTCCCCTGGCATAGTGAGTTATAGTATGGAACTCCGTACCCAGCACAGCATGTTGGTCATGAGACTCCTCCAGCTCCTTCAGGCACTCGCCGAGCATGTCCCACAGCTCATCCAGGAGAAGCTGCTCACTCAGCAGAGGCAGATCTGGCAACTTCTCCTCATGTTCCAACTGACTGCTTGCTTCTCCACCTACAGAAACATTCGCAGCAATGATACGAAATGAAGATCCATACTGACTGCATGCCACCATTTTTAAAAGGAAGGAGGGGGAAAAAAAATAATGACAGGCATTTGGGCAAAATGCCAAAAGTAGAGGTGCCCACAGCCTCACCCAGTGCCTGTGCTTCCTGGCCCAGGGGGGACGGCTGATCCACATCCATCGGGGAGTCATCTCTCTGAGTCGGAGGAACCTCTGATACAGCTGGGACGTCCGACTGGAGAAGGGGAGAGATGGAGACAGATGGGGCCAGGGATCGGAAGAGAGAGCACGAATAAAAGAATGGGAGAAATAAAAACAGAGTTGAAGTTAGGAAACACACATACAATAAAAGGGGTTTCTGAGGGGAGTGGGAAAACCCCCAAATGACTGACTGCCATGCTCCAATAAGCTAGCAAGAGAAAGGAGTATGGAGGGGGAAGGGGGGCAGCTGCAAGCAACACAAAGTCAACCGGGCAGAGAGAGAGAGAGAGAGCGAGAGAGAGAGAGAGAGATAGACAGACAGAAAAAGCCAGTAGCATGTTCACAACTGAGTCAGTCAGCCAGGAGAGCATGATGTATGTATGTGCGAGTATGTTATGCAAGACTGTACAAGGGCAGGCTGCATGTGAGCAAATGCAGAAATGTATGCAGCATAACTTTCTTCCTTGGATCAGCAATAACAAGGTGAACCCTGATGTCAGATTCCAGCTGGCTTCGAAGGGGGGGTACAAAGTGCAAAGTCATGGCTGGTTCTAATGGCGCTTTTCCACTGCCACCAGGAACCTAGCTGGACCCGACTCGTACTGCGAAGTGACGGTTTTCCGTCAAAGTATGTGAGCCGTACCCGCGCTGTACCCGCGCTGTACCCGAGCTGACAAGGCCCTGCTTAGTAGAAGAGCCAAAAGCGTGACCAAACTGAGTCGGCTGCGTTACCACTGGACGAAATGCATGGAGATACTGATCTGAGTTGATAAACAAGGATTATCTGAAGAAAATATGTTCTCCATATTATTCATTATTAGTAATATCGCACATCGCATTGAGTTCCCAAAAATTCGGAACTTGAAAATTTCCAACCTACTTTAAAAAAAAAAAAAAGTTCTGCAGAACTGAAAGGAATGGATTAATAATGCAAATTTACACAATCGAATGATAATTGCGCTAGTGTTTGTGATATTTCCCGTGTTATGCAAGCATCAGACATGCCAACGGAAATTAGCACAGTAAAAATAAATAATCTGCACGTGGAAAATTATGATGTATACTGTGTGAACAGTAAATAAGCATCTCTTTTACAGTTCTGTGTCATTGTGGCTCTTCAAATCTGGCAATGTCTTTACCGAACCGACCCTTCTTCAGTGGAACCAAGCTGTAAGTAATCTCTCTGAGGTACGGCTCGGGTACCTGGTTGGTTCCTGTATGCCGGTGGAAAAGCGCCATTAAGTGCCCTCCCGACACCTCCCTACAAACGTGACTGCACTACTGTAGCATTTTTCAGCTCAATGACAGAAAACACATTTATATATTAAAAAATAAGAGATAGTACTTATGAGGACAAAATGTGCCATGGTCAAAGTTTCACACACAATCATAGGCAGGGGCCGGGACTGAGTATGATGTGTAATGCTGGTTAACGCCCATGCTAACCGTAGCAATGCTGGCCGTGCTGGCAGGGGTGACGCTGGCTGGGGCCGTGCTTGGGGGATGGGGGGCAGCAGCGGCGGCGGCGGCAGAGGATGATGGGGGGGCCTGTTGCTGTAGCCGGCGTGCCCGCTGCCCCTCCCTCACCATCTGGATGATGGCGTCCGCTTCAGCCTCCAGCTGCCGTACTGCCGCCTGGATGCTACTGGCTGAGCCCAGGCTTGAGGAGCCCAGACTGGAGGGGCCTGCGAGGGCGGGCGGATGGAAAAGGGTCACCAGACAGATCCCCCCAGCATGCAGAACAAATGAGGGGTGTCCCCATTCAGAAGCCGAGGGTTTACGCATTTCCTCCTGCCACAGATATGTACATAATTCAGAGACAAAATATTACGTTGCTGCAATAATTAAAAATATACTCAGAAACTAGACAGACGCTCCAGACCCACAGTTAGTAGTTGGGGTTTTAATCAGAATTGTTGCAGAAGCTTCAATGTATGAGCATGACCCTCAGAGGGGGCAGGTAACTTATGTTTTTTATATTTTTAATTAATTTAACCTTTATTGTCCCTCATGGGGAAATTCTTTTTACGCCTCCATCAACTTGCTCTTTGTAGAACAAGCTGTCTGCGAAGGGCAGCCACCTATTTGCATTTATTTAATATACTTAGCAGGCATCTACAACCAGAACAAAAAAAAAAACTGCATTCGTTGCCTTTTCAAAGGCAGAGATAGGGGGTCTGCGACAGCTACTTAACCATCCCCTGTAAAAGCAACAGAGTCCGGCCACTGAGGACTCACCCAGCCGGCCGGTCTGCTTGGCCTTCTTGTTGGCACGGCGTGTGTCCTCCCGCAGCTGGATGATCACCTGCAGCACGCGCAGGAAGAACTTCTGCGTGGAAGTCTTGGAAGTCAGGGAGCTCATGGAAGGGAGCTGCAGCTCCCGGCCTCCTAGCGTGCGCTTCTGGGCTGCGACGATGACCACGCTCTCCGCCCCATCGAACCTGCGGTCCCGCCAAGTGAGGGCATTGCGGGAGACAGCAGGTATAGTTATAACAGTGGAATGTAACTGATGCACTTATACACTACTAGCTGCTAAACCACACTGACCCACGCACTGATTGTCAAACTTCACCCTAACCCTAACCCTCACCTGCTGGTCATCTTCCCCTTGAGGCGTGCCGAGTGGGACGGGTCATCAGGCATGGCCTCCGGCGAGTGGCTGTCTGTTTGGGCTCTTCTCTGCTGCTCCAAGTTGTACTCCCGCAACTCAGCCAGCAGCGTGCCTGTAAAAGAAAACACAAGTCAGAAGACTGATCGATCAAGGACAGATAAGAAGTCACTGTCTAAGGGACGGTATCACAGGAAACACCGGTAATTGGTATGAACTTCCGCTCGCAGCTCAATTATGTTTTTTCTGCAAAGAAAACAGAGATTGTCCTGAAAGAGATACATCTATCTCTTTAGCTACTGACTGTTGGATCAGTGTTTCCCATCCAGTCCACTGGGACCCCCCAGACGGTCCATATTTCTGCTCCCAACACCCTACCAGGGAGCAAAAATGTGGACCATCTGGAGGTCCCAGAGGACTGGATGGGAAACACCATTAGAGAATCAAAAGACCAGAGGAAAAAGATGAAAAGAAAGGTGAAGGCTGAAGGGCAGCAAAGGGAAGACATTCAGATCCAGGGCAACAATGCAAACTCACCGATCTGCTTGCATAGTGTGTAGCCCAACTGACGTGCTCCACTTAGCAGCAGTCTAAGCACCGTGTCCCGTGTGGATGCATCCCCTCTGGATAACTGCAGGAGGATGTTGGCGGCATCCTCCAAACCCTCTTCCGAGCAAGAGTGCGAGGTCAATACCTGGGGAAGGATGGCGACAACATTCGGTTGACAAGGTCCAGTAAGGAAGCAAACTTATAGGAGCAAACACTGGGCCAGATGACACATTTACGTCAGCGTGGGACTGTGGGTCCACACTAAGCCAAAAAGCCCAGTAACTGGCACCTAAAGTAGAAGCTTTGGCAGCAGCCTCAGATTACAGGGCAAAGAGGCCACAGTATGAAGACTCACCTCCACAGACAGCTGCAGCTGTTTCTCAGTCAAACCAGTGGAGGCCAGCTTACTGTCACTTTCTACACTGTTCACAGACACTCGTGGCTTCACTGCTGAAACAGAACACCACAGCCATCAGAATGCACCAAATTTATTACCAAGTACTCAAACTGAAGTACTCAATTACTCAAATTGAAGTACTCAAGTACTCAAACTGAAAACAATTTACACCTAAAATATGCCTAAACATGGGAACTTTATTGATGAGCACTGACTCATGGCTGATCTGTAAGCAGCACTACAACCCATAAAACAAGATGGTTTAAGATGACTCCACCCAGCTGAACATGCCTGATACACAACCAGCTATTAAGCCAAGGTGCTGAAGACATCTAGACTGCAGTTCAGCAGCTTTTTAACAGGGCTGGATCAAGGAAGAGATAGATATTATGATTATACTGGCCCCAGCGGGGATCAAACTCTCCACATACCAGCAGATGAACCTGTGGTAGAGGTAGAGGCAGATGGAGCGGCATTCGCAGAGAGCTGCGCCGAAGTCTGCCCCGTGCCAGGACCTGAGGAGACTGGCTGTGCCGTAGCCGGGGCGGCCGTACCCGGGGTGGGCGCGGGGGCGCCCGCTGCTGGAGGAGCCTCGGTTGCCTTGTTGTCAGGGAGCGCGATAGAAATGAGCGAGAGTAAGCGCAGCAGCTTCTCTGTCAACAGGGAGCTCCGGCGAATCACCGGATGGGACAGCATATTCATCAGCTGCCCCAAGGGTGACGCCTCTAAACTACCCTGGGCCCCCTCTGCCTCTCCAGCGCCCCCTGGAGGCACAGTCTTCATTGAAGCCTTGCCCTTACGGCTCACGTTCATGTTGTCGAGCTTCACCAGCAGATCCCAAAAGTCTGTGGAGATGCCCAGGGACTGGGGTATGGATGAGCTAGTGGCAGAACAGGCAGCCATGGAGTTGCTATTGGATGTAGGGCCAGAGCAGGTGACTGTCTGGGGAGTGCCGAGGCACCGGCCGCCTCCGCTCCCTGACCCCGAAGAGGACCCAGTGCACAAACGAGTGTCCAGCTCAGAGGACGAGGAAGAGGACAAGTCTTTACATCGTTGTTGAGTGAAGTGGCTGGGGAAGACCTGCAAAAGAAAAAGATACAATTCTCATAAATCCTGCATAGAAGCTCATGCATGCAGCAGTGTTTTCAAACTCCCACTCACCTTGGCCAACTGGATGAGCGTGTCGAGTACATGTCTGCACACCACTGGGGCGGCCTGCGGATGGATGTGTACCGTGGAGCCCCCGCCCGCACAGGCCACTCCTCCCCCTCCGCCCCCCATGCCGGACGCACTTCCTCCGGTACCAGCTGGGTGGCGCTCCGAGTGCTTGCGGCCCACAGCGCGCTGAATCTGAAAGATGTTGGTGCGGCAGCCTAAGGCTGCGTCCATGGAGACCGACAGCCAGGAGAGCTGCCCAGAGCTGCGTGCCTCCATCCGGTTCAACAAGTCCAAGGAGGACGACGTGGAGGGGGAAAGCGATGAGGAGGACGACGATGAAGATGACGAAGAACCCGAAGACAGCGGGGCACCTTTGCCGGCGGCCGAGCCCAGAGCACGCTTGCCTCTGGCTTCGTCGCCGTGGGGCGAGCGGGCCATCTCCACGCACAGCTCACTCTCACTGCTGCGCTGCAGGATAGACAGCAGGCTGCGAATGACCCAGCCACGAGTCTGCGAGTGGTAGCACAGGTTCCGCAGCACGCGGTGCAGCCGGCTGGTGTTCAGCTTAGGCTCGTCCACGAACAGCAGCACCAAGAGGCAGGAGAGCGCCTCGTGGTCCAGCAGGAGCCTCCCCCGAAGGCGCAGCAAGGAGTCCACGTTGGAGCTTGATGGACTGAGGGAGGGGAGGAAGACGGAAAAACCATTTAGTGTTTACACACCCTCTGTAATGCCTCATTTCCACCAACCGGAGCTGGGCTGGTTCTCGTTTGGTGCCTTTTGAGAACCTGCCCGCATTTCCACCAGTTCCAAAAAAGAACGGAACAGAAATATTACATAGGCGGAAGGGAGAATAAAGTAAAGGTTCATATTTATTCCATTTTTTCCGTTGTGTTTCAGATTTTAAGTTTCTTTAAAACAGCTGAACTGGGAAAAAAAAAAAACTTCAGAGTAGCCTGTATCCACTACAGTCTCCATAAAGGCTCCCCTGTCTGTGTTTGTTATTCTCTCTCGCTGTTTTACTGCTGTCCCTTTAAGGATTGTGCAATAAACGACTAAAAAATTTAATCTTGCTATCCCACACCATGATCTCTTCGCCACTCGGGTGCCACAATAATTTATTTATTCATCCTGCAACATATTTATAATTTATTAAATGTGGCCAATCTATTGTTTTCCACAGAATAAAAAACAATGCAACCATATTCTGCTAATAAGCTGGCAAGTTGTTTCACTGCTGGCACTGGTGATATAAAAACTATATGGGTTATAGATTGAATATTTTGGGTATACAGAAGATCTGTGTGTGAGAACTAACGTTACGGTTCCAAACTCTGGTTCCTGCTTTTCTGTGGTGCTGTGCCGGAGCTGGTTTTTCCTGGCCTAGGGCCATTTTTTTGTGGTGGAAACACACGGAACTAGTTCTGGATTGGGACAAAGTCCGGCATTGGCTCTGGCACCGCGCTGGGGGAAGCGAGGCATGGGTGTACATATGCAGCACCATCTGATACTGAGCAGCCTGTGTATTACAGACAAGGAGACTAATTTTAACTGGCCATCTGAAACAGAACATTGACATCAAATCACTTTTGAAGTCTCCCATCCATCTGAGCACTCCATCCCCAAACCATGTGGACAATTTTGCTATTCAGTTCCTTTCCTCTGTCAGCTCAAATGTCACAGACCCATTACCTGAAACAACCTCAATTTATCTGAGAGTTGTACTTCCTGACCTCCATTACTCGCTTCCTCTGAAGCTTTCAAAACCCTGAGCCAGCATATCGTAACACACTCACCCTGTCCCAACCAATAACCGCTTTTGCCAGTTCTCGTCAGTCATAACCAGTTTGCTCCCATGTGCTACAGCTGATCAACCTGAACTTCCAACTTGTGACAGCACTGTTAAAATGCAGTGGACTCTCACCGGTTGTGGTTAGCTGTGCCACCCATCTGGAAGGCCCCGCCCCTCTGCACAGCCAGGCGGGTGTACTGGACACCACGGTTTGCTCCCAGCCGGCTGTTAAAGGCAGGTGAGCGCAAGATGGCCGAGAGGGCGGAGGACGAGCTATGACCGAAGAGTCGTTCGTGCATCAGCTGGCGATGTCGGGCTTCCTGCTCACGCCTCAACGCAGCAGCCTCTGCCGCAATGTCAGGTGGCATCACAGCCAGCACGCTGTCCTCCATATCCTCCAACACGCTGCGCCGCAGCTCAGAGGGCAAGGTCTGGATGAAGGTGACAGGGTCCAGGGGCTGGTCGCCCTGTGCCGGCTGCTGGGAGAGTTCTCGTCGTTGCTGCTCGGCGCGCTGCTGTGCCAGCACCTGCAGGTCAAACCCACAACCCATCAAGCATTAACCAACTACTCCAGTTTGCGCAGCTAACTCCTCGATGCAGACGGATTTCTACACCTTATGAGCACAAAGCTACTGTTTCACCTTCTACTAATCATGGAGGTTCACCCGACAGCAGAAGCACCAAACCCTATACTAAGCTCGGTCTTGGGTTACCCAGGAAGTCCCAGATATACTGACCTCTTCTTGAATAGCAGGAGGCAAGGCAGCCAAGAACTCTGGGCTGACCTCAGTGACCCCGGGACTGCCCCCGAGCACGGCCGCTGTGGATGTGGGCAGTGCCGGGGCAGCGGGGGGCCGGGAAGGAGGCCTGATACCCAGCTGGTTCTGAAGAACCTCCCGGCGGATGTCTTCTGGAAGAGCAGCCAGGAAAGATGGGTCTACCCCTTCAGGTAGACTGATTCCTAGAGAAGAAACAAGAGACCAGCAACATGAGGACATAGACAGATGGTTTAAGGTGGGAAAGCAGCCAGTTTTCTGGCAGCGGGAGACTAACCAGCAAGAGGGTCCTCTTCCTCATTGCTGGTGGAAGGCAGCGGCTCTTCCTCAATGGCCTGGGCTTGGCCGTCTCCACTGTTACTCTGAGGTACTGCCTCACTGGGAGAGGACACTGCAGCTCTGTTGATGGAGAGCAGATTACAGTCACAGAAATTGCTTCCCGCTCTGCTGGATTTACCCATCAGTCATTTTTCTGTGAGTATCAGGAAGGAAAAGGCAGATGGTCCCGCCAGCTCCACCTTCTTTTCACACATGAAGTACGTGGTGCTAGAGCTGAGTGCTAAATGGGAGGAGCTGGCAAGCCTCAGTCTTGGCAGCCAGCATATAACTGTCCCGATCTCCCTTGCACTGCAGCGGGGTTTTCGGTTTGCGGAGAAAAACTCCAGACTGAGTCCAGAACAAAGCAGAGCCACTTCGGGAGGGGGGGGGGGGGGGGGGGGGAGGTTAGCAAGACAGACAACCCTGTTACCACATTTTACATATCAGTCCTTGTTCATAAATTAAACACTCCGAGCTTTTTAAAGACCTGCTTTGTGATTAGTCATAGTTATTTTTAAATCCTTGACGACTCACCCTGCCTCCCTCTCTGTCTGCCTGTCAGCCTGAGCTCCATCCTGACATGCCGGCAGCTCCTGGGCCGCAAGGTCGGCCTGGGCTGTGCTGGACGCAGGCTCTTCCTGCATGGCCGACGCAGGGCTGCTCGTGTCCATCGGTGAGCCCTCCCTGTGGGAGGCACCAGCTGCTAGGGGCTCGGAGCTCTCCACCCTCTCCGGGCTGAGGGAGGCTGATGGACAAAGAGGGCAGAAGTGAGGACAGGAATCGGGAACATGAATTAAAATTAACATTCCAAGATGGGGGAAAATGGATTCAGTCCCACAACACAGTAGTACCAATATCGTTCTACTACTTGTTTCTAAATTTGCCCAGTTAATATATAATAAATTCCTGTTAAACAACAAAACATCTTCACCTATGAATCACCTGCCCTTTGCATAGCCATTGGCTAAGGAAGCCCAAGCATTTCACTTTCACCCCCCCAGCACCATTAAAATCTAATGAGGGCTTTGCAAAAAAATTAGGTTTCACTTCTAATGCGTATTTACGGCAATTATATTCTTTATAAATGTGATTTCTTTCTTTTGTAGGAGACAATATAATAAAGCAGTGCTTAGTCCTTCACGTGTCGTTCTTCCAAAAAAAAGGATGTCTTCTTAAAAAGGCGTGTTTATTTCAAAGCAATTAGTCAAATTTTTTGCTATTGATCCAACCGTACTGTACGCATCCTAAAAGAACGACACATGAAGCACAGATGAACCAGTTCTTGGGGGGGGGGGGGTTAGAAACTTGAAAGATTTCTGACGTGATGATGCATGTACCAGAGATTCACATACAGCAAAGTTCATGACAAGATGACATGGTGATGCCATAGGATTATGGCTTTTGTATGAATGAGGATGATTGACTTGCCATGCGTACCGATGGTGGGGGCCGGAGACATCTCCATCTGAGAGGCTTCTACTTCACAGCTGGGCCTGTCCGGCGCAGACACCTCGGGCAGGTCGGCCCTGGCAAGTGCCACCAGTGAATTGGCGTGCGGCTCAGCCAGCAGCAGCTCCGTCATTGGCTGGTGCACCTGCTGGTTCACCGCAGCCTCCAGGGAGACCAGGGCCGGCTCGTGGGAGGGACCAGAGGTGGTGGGTGTGGCCTCTCCTGACGGCGGCGCGGTGAGGAAGCCCTCGGTCGAGCGGGGCGGATCCAGGCACGAGGAAACCCCGCACTGGGGCTGCTCAGCTTCTGAGACGGTGACATCACAAAGAAAATTAATTAAGAGAATGAGACTGAAGAGGGGGAAGTGTGTTTGTGTTTTTGCTCTAGTAAAAGCAGCATTAAACCATTTTTATAGGAGGGTAAATAAATGCGGCAGTGGGTGAAATGAGGAAGGCAGTAAGTTGTATAGTTATCTCCAGTGAGGGGCACAACATCCCAGTCCCCAACAACAACACAACTTACTACCTCACCCCAGCACAGACCAGAATGTCCCAGCCGAATTCTTACAGACTGCTCAGCAAGACACAAAAACACTTATGTACTTTAAATACCGCACACATAAAATATTAACAGGAAAAAAAAGTCACCAATTTCCATAAGAAAAAAGCACTTAATTCAAGCAGGTTAGAAACTGCAATCTTGCATAACAGTGTTCATAACAGCTCCCACAAAAGCGCAGGAGAAGCACTCGTGCTCAGCAGCTCCCACAGACTTACGAGGATGTGCAGTTACCGTGGGAAAGACAGTAGACTGTATAGTTATCTCCCAGATCTGGTATGATCCTAAAACTATACAAACTACTACCTCAGCCCACAGTATGCAACGTGACACAGAAGGGCGCCGCACGTCCGGGATCGCCTCCATTTCCACTGCTCTATGAGAGAAACGGCGGCTGTGCCCACAAATAGGAGCACCTGAGATCACTCCACAAAAGTAACATTTATTTCTTTATTCTTCAGCCTTTTAAGACTCTTCACTTTCAGCTTTAAAACAAAACATGAAGCAGCCAGAAGACGAGCGGTCATACCAGCCGATCGTCCTGCACCATTAACGGCTCTCAGCGCTGAACCCTGCAGAGAAAAAGAGGACCGTCAGGGCTGGGGGTCATGACCTCCACTGTGTGCCCCTTACACTCGGCTGGACGCAGCCCACCCCCCCACCTGCAGACTCTGCTCATGGCCTTCCTCTGTTCCAGTCCCGGTCTTATCGTTCTGCTTGGCCTCCTCCTCTTCGACCAGTTGCCGCCGCCTCTTTTCTCTTCGCTCCTCAAGCTCCTCGTCCCGCAAGCTCTCCAAGTGCTGAAGAATGGGCACCTTCACCACTGGACACAGGATGACGGTAAATGGCATTACATTAGTAAACAAATGTACCCTATTCACGTCATAGACATTCGCAGATTTATTATGAAAACCTGCTGCCTCGTGGACTCACCAGCCACACAGTCATGCATGCTCTCGGCATCCAGGACCTTACATTCATCCGTCCATCGGGTCAAGGCTGTGGGTATACTGGAGAGTGTGCCTTAGAAAGAGGCAGGAAGTGAGATCACAGCCAAGCAGGGGCACTTTTATTAAGGAAAGTACTAGGTTTCCTTCAGAAGTACAGGCACCTATATAGCATCCCACTACCAGCTTACCTGCCTGCCCTCCAGTGCTGCTTTGCTCATGAAAGAAATCGTCCAGCAGCTCGTCATCGGAGCGTGCGATGATGTGCACGTCCTCGTTGCCCACCAGCAGACGGGCACGGCCACGGGACTGCAGGGGCAGCGAGCTGGACAGCTGCAGGATGTCTGCGGCTGCACTGGGGCCCAGGAGCCTACGGCACAGGAGCAAAGGCACACTGCTCAACATCTCTGCATCTGCTCTGCATCTCTGCATCTGCTCTGCATCTCTGCATCTGCTCTACACTATACAACACACAGCTTTCACAAGAGTTACTCTGTTTATTAACCAACACAGACCCAAAGCTGGGGATGGACCGAGCAAGTGACCATTAACATAAGCTGACCTCTGCAAGATGAGAGGAGGGTTGGGCTGCCGGTTGCCGGGGTAATGTACGTGGATGGTGTGGCCAGTGTTGGCCGTGAGCTGCCGCAGAGTGCGCTGGCTCCGCCCCACACCCTGCGTCAGGCGGCCACTGGCCCCCGTGCCCCCGAGGGTGAGCGAGCCGTGGTCTGCATGCCGCACCATCAAGGGATGGGAGCTGGGGATGTTGCCCGGGGAGGGAGGGATGTCAGCTGGGGGAGAGGAGAAAACGTCGATGTGAGACCCATCGAGAGAAGGGAAGGGGTTACAGTCCATCCGATCAGTTCACGGATCCCATTAAAATGTGCCCATAAAAATGAGCCGTCAGAAATAGCTAATTACATAAATATTTAAAAAGTGACCAACTGCAGTCAGGGTAATCAAAGTGAAGAAACGCACCTGTTGTAGAAAACATGTTATCAAATTCTATGATGAGGTCATCATCACGATCAAATCGCTCAAAACGAATATGAGGGGCGCTATTGATGTCGGGATAGTCTTCATCCAGCTCCATCTCAGAGCCTTCGTCATCATCATCCTCATCGCCCTCTTCATCATCCTATAAAGAATTTATTTATTTTATTTTATTAATATAAATTCTCTGTCAAATTTAACACGTGCGAATAATTTACTCAGCACCAACCTGATCATCCTCTTCCTCCTCCTCCTCCTCTTCCTCCTCCTCCTCATCCTGGCTATCTTCATCTTCATTGCTGCCACTGGAGTCTTCCTCCTGCGTGTGTTCCTCATCTTCAGGCTCGAGGATGTTCATGGAGTCTGAGGCGGGAGAAACCCCAAAAAATGTTTAAAAAGCTGCAGCATTCATATTTGCAATGAACACAAAAGAACGTTGCACATAAAAAGCAGAGAACAGACAAACAGCTACAAACTCAGCGCACAGGCACACACACACACTCGCAGACACACACGAACAAACAGACACACTCGCAGACACACACATACACGTGCAGACACACGTGCAGACACACACAAAAACACATTCACATATACCTTCTCTGTTCGCCTGCAGTGTTGATGCCTGGCTCAGGTTTGATGGGGCCTCATCCATCAGCACATCCTCCTGAGATTCGTCCTCGCCAGTCCGTCCCACTGAGAAAGTGGCACGATATAGAGTGTATCAGATTCGGGTAACTCGGGAGAAGAGGGGCACTCCACATGTGACCTTCCCATTTCCTGAGCGGAGCCTTACCGATGATGGTACTGTTGAGAGTTCCTGCATCTCTCTCCAACAGCTCATCTATCAAGTCGACCAGCTCATTCTCCACCTACACACAGCGTAAATGGAAGAACGACCGTTGGGACTCCTCAGTTCCAAAAGCACTCTGTCTAAGCTTTGGCAATATGATATGTACTTCATTTCTTCTGCATTATGACATGAGAAACTCCGTGCGTCAGGGAAGTAGTTAGCCCTGCTGAACGTTTAGCATATTGGGATCCTGAGAGTTAATTGCTTTTATATTCTAGAGATGGGTTTGTCACCCTTTCCAACCACAAGGCCCGGCTATTCACGATTTATCATGCCGGTGGGGGTCCCCCTCCACAAATTTTGCCGACCCATTGGTATATTTCGCAAATTTTCCTGAGCTGTGATTAGGTCACTGTGGCAGCAAATTACAGAACAAACTGTTTTCCAGCCACACTTAAAATGCTTCAATATGCAGCTTTACAATGTTACATTATACTAAAACATCTTGACAAATCCACACCAGCTGCACCTGCATCTCCTGGGTGCTGAGCACCTCTGGCTGCCCTGCAATGACCACGGTGTCACCCTCAGTCTCCCCATCCATGAGGTCGCCATCTGTCCCTTGAACAGGGGCAGTGCCCTCCACTGGCTCTGCCTCTCCAGTATCACCTAGAAATGAAGTGGGAGACAGGTAGAGAAGATGGATGGATGGATGTGTGGATGGTTTAATGGTGCAGTATGTGGATGCTTCCCAGCACATAAAAGCGTACGTGTGTGTGCCTGTGGGCCCATGCCTTACCTGGCTCCTGTGTGGCACTGTTACTGTCCCTGGCTGTGCCCACTACTTCGTGCTCCGTCTTGCTCTTGCTGGAGTTGCCCTTACCCCCAAAAATACTGCTGGGCTGGTTCACAATTCGGGACAAGGTCTCCAGAGGTTTTAATGCTGCATTCACTGTGTTGGCCATGTTGGGACTGGTGCAGGGTGGAAGACACATTATTCAGAATAAAAAGACAAGAAACAAATCTGTCAAGTTTAAACATCATGGTGCCTAATGCTTCAGTAAAGCCACATTCAGAGGGATCCAGAATGAAGACACACACAGGATGGAACAAAATGCCCTGAACAGGGCACATACAGTGGCTGGAGAAAGTATTCAGCCCCCAACATGCATCACATTCTGTCGCCTCTGATTCTGAAGTTCAAATGAATCGCATTAGTTTTCCCCACTGATCTCCGAAGCCTTGAGAGCTGCGGCAAATCAAAAGGAACTCCAACACCTTCAATACACTACAAAAAATATGTATCAAATTAAAGGACTGATACCCTTAGTAAATTCAGCACAAACGTGCTCACAAGATCTTGTTCATGGATCAACCATCACCAAAGTATTCCATAAAAAGGACCTTTACAGGAGTGTGGAAAGCAAGAAGTGCTTGCTGAAAAGAAAAATGCCATATGTTTGCCCACAAATTTACAAAACGTCACCTGGAGGACACTGCAAAGATTTGGCAGGTCTCGATGAGCTAAAAATTAAACTCCTTGGTCTGAACACTAAGTGGTACGTGCGGCGCATATCAATCGCTGCACCCCAGCCAGGTAACACTATGCTGACTGAAGTATGGCAGTGGTAGCTTCATGTTTTGGGGATGTGTTTCAGCAGCTGCAACTGGAAATCTCATCAGGACTGATGGGGAGAAGTCATGAATGAAAGCCTGTGCTCCCGTGCTCAAACACTGAAACCGGGGAGATCTGCCTTTCAACAGGACAATGATCCGAAACATAAACAAAGCAACACAGGACTCGAAAAATAATAATAATATCCTTGAATGGCTCGGTCAAACTCCAGACTTTTATCCCATTGAAGAACTGTGGCAAGACCTCAAAATTGCTGTTCATGGCCATTCCCCAACTAACCTTTGTAAGGCAAAGCAATTTTACAAGGAGGGACAGGCAAATATTGCTCCATGACAGTTTGTGAAACTAAGACTTTTTTATTATGAAGTTCACTTAACACTATGCCAGTAACCAGGGCCTATGGTAAACACATGGACAGAAAATCAGATTGAACAAGAAAAAGGCTAAAAACGTCATAATTAGAAATTGTTTTGCCTCTATGGAGCAATCTAAATAAGATGCTTAAGATAATTTTTTGATAAATCTAAAACTTTACTAAAAACCTCAGTTAAAGAGCCAGGAAAATAACTACACCCAAGGGATTTTTAATTATAAAAATATAATTTTCATTACAAAAATATAGCATTATAAAATGATTAGTTTTAATTATTTTGTTACGCTGTGGGTATATTCTCTGTACAGAATACTGCGGAAATAAATGAAATTTTCAGCTTAATGCGTCACAGTCCCTGATTTTGAGACTTTAGGGGGCTGAATATTATTTCCAGTCGCTGCATATGCGAGGACAGAATCGGTACCTGGAGAGGTCGAGGCTGTGGGGCACACGTGCCAGGTCGTTCACCAAGCCCTTCTTCAGAAAGAGGCGGATGATGTTGTTCACGCCGTTGTGCTGCGTCTTAGCGGCGGCGGTGCTGTAGAAGCTGGAGCTGGAGGGGCAGGACTCCATGATTGTGCTTATGATGCACATTACAGCCTGGAGCCTGTGATGGAGATGGAAACCAGACGTTATGGCACCTAACGCTTGACTGACACACACTTCTGGCAGATTCCTAGCCTTGCATGTACAGTGCTGGGCAAAAGTTTTAGGCAAAGGAAAAAGTTTAAAGCTACTTATCTTGGTAGTAAGTGTGTATTTGTTCAGGAAAAACAACTTATTATAACATATGCAAAGTTACAAAAGGAATTTCTTCTGTTCTCAAAAAAATGCTACCAATATCTTGGATAACTAGAACAACTCTTCAGTTCCCAAACATCCCCTCAGGGACACTTTAGCCATTGCATGTATTTGTGAAATTCCACCACCAGGTCACCTAATGTAATTAGCTAAATAACTGAGGTAATGATTGGCCAAAGTACACTAGGGGTCGAGTCGCAAAATATACTGATGAATATACTAATGGTTGCTGCACATACTAAGGTTTCTTTAGAATAGGTGTTGAAATAGCTAAGCTGACACTTCAACAGACATCATTTTAGACCAACATGAAGATCATTTAAACATTTTCCTTAGCTGCCTAAAACTTCTGCACAGTACTGGAAGTTCTGTCTATAAAGGAGAAGTGTTTTTCATATACCGGTATAAACAGCTATACAGCAGTACACAGAATTTCAGCACAACATAAGAGCATCCCTGTGACAGACAGAGATGGGGACAGAGGACACAGATGGCAGCCTCACCTAGCATGCTTCTCTGTGCTCTCCGTCATGGCCAGAGCGCGGCTGAGCGCTGCCTTCACCTCATTGACCAGGGCTACCTGGGCATCCGTGCCTGTGCCAGCAGCCGCCAGACTGGCCAGGAAGAGCCGCGCCAGAGCCGGGGTGTCCTTGTCTTCGGAGCTTTGGGTGTTAGGCAGTAGGTGGTCCAGCACGAAGGCCAACACGCTGCAGTCCTGTCATGGGGGGGGGGGGGGGTTGCGTTATTCAGGGCACACAGAAAGTAGCCAGAAACTAGAAAAGATGCTGTCAGACATGGAGGAGCACAGATGTTATGAAATAGTGAGAAAGCCTTTCGTAAGTCAGTAAGTAATTGCTTAAGAGAGGAATTAAAGATTTTATGAATAAAATATTAAACTATCATAGTTCAAACCGACAAGATCTGTTTAGGAGTTAAACTGACCTTCGCACTAATATTGAAGTAACACTTGAACACAGCTTATAATATATTTATTTGTTGAAATTCAAGACATTGGCCATGTGTCAATCTTTGCCGATATTTCAACTGCAACTTCAACAGCAGCACAGCTAACGACATAAATACTGAAATAATGGAGATGATTATATTGGATGTCCAGTCATTTCTGTAGCGGACGAGGAGGGGTTTTGCTGGCTCATTAACCAGTTATAAGGAGTCTCAAAGCACTGGACTGCAACATGTTTATAGTTATTAATTATTAAATCTCCCCCACAGATCAATATTCTTTTTGCCACAACATAAGAAACAATGTAACCTGATGCTGTTAATCTGTGCCAGCATGTCTCACCACCAGCAACCCCCCCTCCCCCCAACTTCGGGGGTGAGTGCAGAGGAGATTCAGGCCATGTCACCAGTTTCACTGGATCTGCACCAGTTCCTTCAGGTGCCACCACTGACCAGGACTAGAGCTAAATAACACGATCAAATTCCCCCACAATACAATTCGTCAGGCGGGTGGGGCAAGTTTGCCACATTTTTCAGAATGCAAATACCTCTCCTTAAATCCTTAGCCCAACTGGCTACCAGAATACTACTGGAAAAATGATCAGAGTGGGGATACCAGCAACGAAAAAAAATAAAAACACACAAATATGGTGGGAATACAAAAATACAGCAGACAACGTAAGAGCAAGCCACAAGAGAGGGGGAGAAAAAGGACAGCGAGAGCCATAAGAGAAAGGAGAAAGAGAAAGGAGAGAGAGAGAGCTGCACCTCCTTGATGAGCTCAGACTGGCCGGCAGTGTAGCTGTAGGACGCGATGAGTGTGGCGATGCCCACGTAGGAGCGCACGAGCTCAGCCAGAAGCCGCAGGATGCTGGAGGTGGGCATCAGGGGCTTGCTGGCCTTGCCCTTAGTGCCCCGGCCATCGTCTGAGGGAGAACCGCGCTCGCTCTCACGCTCCTTCCTGCCCTCCCGTGCCTCCTCTGGAGTGGAAGCTAAAAAATAAAACACATGGAAACTAGTGAATGACAGGCTAGATGTCACCTTTGGGGATTTTAAGCGTTACAGCTTCATTTGAATGACAAATAGAACCTCACAACAGAGCGGAGCTAGAGGGCAGGCATTGTACACTGAGGAGGGGGGGGGAAGATTACTGTGAACCAATGAAGGTTGCTTACCCTCCCCCTGGGGAGTACCCGACTGGGACGACTCCGCCGCACCTCCATCTGCCGCAAACACCTGGCTCTGAAGATAGGGAGAGCAGAGACCCATAAAAACCCTGCCCCCTGAGTGCATATGCGCTCACACACGCTTACTGCAGCCCAGCGCAGCCGCAGACACTCACATTGATGTTGAAGGCGGTCTGTGAGTCAAAGTCACTGCCCTGCCGCGTCAGGCGGTAATGCTGGTACACGTCATCGCCGACATCCTGCAGGATCTGGCTGAGGTCTTGGCTCCCAGGTGTTGCCGTCAGCCGGCTCTCCGTTCTCTCTGCTGGACGGACAGGAGTGAAATGGATTTAGCGAGACAAATTAATCTGAAACTCAAGAAATCTCCCCCATTCTTCAAAGCAAGGAAAATCGCTGCAGCTTCACCTTCCTCTGGAGCATGGTAGGCAGCCAGGGCATTCAGCATGTCATAGATGACCTCCCTAATAGGATCAGGGATGGGGGGCAAGGGCGAGAGCTTCAGGGTGGTGGTCTTCACGAGCTGGACAGCATTCGGCCCCTTGATCCGCAGGTTCTCGAACTCATCATCAGAGGCTAGGTGAGGAGACAGCACAAAATGTCGGCTTAACGTCGTCAGAGACAAAACTTACACTCTCGGCTTAGCCTAATGTTTTCTAACTTCCAGTACTCCTTGATCAGGTGGATAGTTCAGGTCCAGAAAGTAAAAACCCATACCACAATTTTATTTAAACCAACCAGTTGAGTATAAAGAGTCACTGTCACAGAGTACTCAACTGATTGGTTGAAATAAAATCTGGATTTTCACTTTCTACACTTGGATTATCCACCTCTATCCTTGATTAACTTAAGGTATTTGGCATGTCTTGCTGGAATAGGAAATTGGTAGAGTGTGTAGTTCTGCAATTTAGAACTTATTTGCCCACGCCCAGATTAAATCCTATGGTCGCCAAAAGAACCATATTAGCACTGGGCCCTTTTGATTGGCTGTTAGCCGTAATTGCTGCGTGACCCTGCACTGACTATAGGATTTCATCTGCACAATGACAAAGACTTTATTATGACTAGAACTGAATGCAACACAGTAAGCAAACCGTAAGTTTCTTCCCTACTTTTTAATGTTCAGTTGAGTCACTGGAGAATTGTGACGACATGCAGAATAAGCATGTTTGCACAGACTGAGCAAAGAAAGAATTGCACAAATTGTTAATGCTAGGAGAGGATCTCTCACCAGTTCCTGTGCCCCTGGGTGCCGGCAGCGCAATACGCATGCAGCTGGTCGCCGTGTCCGTGAAGCACTCAGGACTGCGGCAGGCTGCCGGTCCGAGAACACGCAGGATATAGTTGATCTCTCGTGAGCCAAGGCTACCAGACACCACACCCGAGGTCGTGCTGCCAGCGCCGCTCGTCACCGCAGAGCGCACCACCTGGGGGGGAAGGCATGACGCCGATGACTCACCTGGGTACTAAGGCCACATATCAATTTGCATTTACAAAACCTGAGTAACATTCACTCAGATTTTTCCCCTTTATAGTAAATGATACTGCCATATCACATCTTTCCTTTTGCATAAATATAAATATTTTAAATCTATCACTGCCAGAAACCATTTCACAATAAAAACAAAGACCTTTTATTTGGTTTGCTTGATTTTGTCAGAGGTGGATAGTTCAGGCCCAGAAAGTAGAAATCCAGACCAAGACTTTATTTCGACCAACCAGCTGACTCACAGTCAGATCACACAGCTGGCTTGTGGTCTACTTTCTTGAAAATCTTGGTCTACTTTCTGGACCTGAACTCTCCACCCCTGCTTTCTGGACAGAAGTGTGTGAGGCCACACCTTCTCCATGGTGTGGCGGAGTGTGGCCGGGTCCTCGATGATGTGGCGGAAGAGCAGCGTGACCAGCGGGGTGAAGCCGCTGAAGCCGGAGCTCTGTGTGAGGCCCAGGATCATGCGTGTGCTGCGCAGCTCAGCGAAGGTCATGGCGTGACGGTGGGCGCGCGTCAGTCGCAGGCAGAGCCGCAGCGTGGCGTGCAGAGTGTCCGGGTCCACCGGCACGCCGATCATGCTGACGCAGGCGCGAATCAGCACGGTGATCATGTCTTCGGACAGGCCCTGGATGGCCGGCTCCAGCGCGGCGGCGGGATCCCGACTCGGAGGGGGAGGCCCACCGAGGGCAAGCGGCCCAGGAGTCATGGGGTCCTTTTGGTCTGGGGCAGCTTCTTTGGTGGCTGACATCTCAATGGCAAAAGACGATGACTCTAGACAATGGAAGATTAGTCATGTCAGAAGTGACAGCAGTTTTTGTTTACCACAGCTTAGCACTCCTGACAAATGAGTTCTTCACATAGGATTGATCTGTTCCGTTTCCGTGCTGTGAGACTCGCAGCCTGGTGTTTTGTGATTGTGTGCATTCCTTTCTAGAATTCTCGGGCTGATTTTCTGCATGCATCACATGACCTTGAATAGCCCACGGTTCCCTGGAGCACCTGTCTCGGCCGGGCCATCCTCAGTCCGGCTCCCATGTTCATCCTCCACCTCCTCCCTCTCACGCTCCGTGTCATTGGGGATGTCACTCTTGGAGGGCCTGGGGATGCGGGGAGCTCGCTGCACGGTCAGCATCACAGGACGGCGATTCCCCGTCTCTTCATTTACCTGAGAGGTGAAAGGGGAACAGATTACGGCTCCTTGAATATAGTGGAAACTGTAATCACAATTAATTCGGCCAATATTGCGCATCACAATTATTTAACACGAATACTTATTGATTTTGGAAACATGAATTATTTGAACTTCAAAAAAATGTCTAACAGTGAATTTCCTTGAACAAAAATAATTAAAACAAAAATGGAGGATTACAGCAAAACGAAATGCGGAACAATAATAGTTCTCAGTTTTGTTTTGAGGATCAACAGAAGCAAAATTCATGATTGTAATTAAAATTCAACTAATTGCCCAGCCTTAGCACAGACAGAGGTATAGAGCAGTGCTCTCCAGTGAGGTGGCCCACAGCCTCGTACAACCAGACCATACCTGCACCATGGTGTTAAACTGCACGGTGTAGCGACGGCGGCCAGCAGTGAAGCGCACGCTGGTCTCTCCCGCTCGCCAGGCTGTGTCGATGGTGCTGTTATTGCTGGCGCTGTAGCTGCACCAGCGACCTGAGCGGTCATCAAACCAGCGCCAGTTGTTGCCATTTGGCTGCAGGTACTAGCAGAGGGCAGTAGAGAAGCGGACAGGCAGGAAGTTCAGAAGACAGGACAAAGGGAATGGAAAGACATCTCACTGCTTGCCCTTCACTGTACAAAAGTGCAGCTGATTCACATTATTTCTTAATTTCAAGAACTTTTAAGATGTACTTAAGAAGTTAAATACTGAGGGAATTTCTGCAACAAAACTGAAGTTAAACAATTAACAGTGCCGTGTTCCAGTCCGACTCAAGATCGTATTTTTAACAAACTGAGTTTGAGTCAAGAGTAAAAATTCACCTGAGTGCATCGCAAGACCCAGTCCATTTATATGTGGACTCGAGACTGGACTCAAGTACCACATCTGACAATTAAGGTCAAAAGCATATTACCTTGTTCATATGGGCTCTCCGCTTTGAAGAGACTGCTGTTTTCTCATAAAAGTCAATCAGCAAAAGTACTGGGGTGATCCACCTGTGAGAGGAACAGCACAGCAAAGAGACACTGTGTTCATTTCATGTTGAAAGGTGTCACACAGATCCGGCACCAACACCTGCCGGCGTGCGGAGTTACAGTGCCAGTCGCTGTACATTTCAGCTGGGAAGTGATTCAATATTCTTTCATATATAGTTCATACTAAATCAAGCAGAGTTCCTCAAATCAATTAATACCGCTAACAAACAAATGTAGAGCATTTGTAGGGCAAAGTAGCACATTCACTACAGTAAACAAGAATTATATTCTTATTTTATAAACACCTGCCAGATATAACTTGTTAGACCTTGTATTAGTGAAAAACCTGGTAAAACGAAAACTCCTACGCAAGTTTCCATAGCCAGAAAAACGTCTGGGGTTCTGTGGGAGACTCACTTGGGAGTTTGGACATCCTTCTGCTCTTTGGCTGCCTGCAGACAGGGCTGCACGACCTCCAGCAGCTTCACCAGCACGCTGAGTATGCTGCTGCTCTCCACAATGCGAGCGCATGACAGCTTCAGCTCCTGTGCAAAGTGTAAGAACGGAGTGAGCAAGGCACTGCTCTGTGCACAAATGACACTCGCAGAGTGACCATCTGTGGACCACATGCCAGAGCCTGCATACGCCTGTGGGTGTGAACGGTGCATAAAAGCATTATGGTTGCGGAGGCTAGCAAACCTCGAAGAGCAGCGTCAGGAGCAGGATGCGGGTGGCCAGGCTTGAGGCTTGGGGCAGCGTGCTCATCTGGCTGCTCCACTCCAGCACGGTCCTGCTGTCGCTTGTGGTGAGCGGCATGGCAGCCTTGATCAGCACGTCGGCCGCTTCCCAGACCTACCACACAAAGGGCGTCGGGTAAAGACTCACGATCCTGGCAGGCAGGGAAGACCGGCAGGGTTCCGAGCGAGCGGCTGAAGCTGTGCTCACCTGGCCGACCACCTGTCTGAGGATAAGGTCACGGAACTCAGGACCGCTGCGTTTGATGGCGGTCATGAGCAGGTCGCACACGCGGTACACCGTGTCGGGGAGCTCGTCCAGCAGGTGAAAGCAGCCAGGCAGCATAGCATCCGTGAAGGCCTGCAGCTCCGTCCCGTCCAGAGGTTCAGCCTCGAGGCAGCGCTCGAGGCAGCGCGCTTCCTCCTCCTCCGCCCGCTCTCGTGCTCGCCTCTCCTCCTCCTCACGACGTCGTGCCACCTCCTGCTCGTTTGAAAGAGAAAAATTTCAAAATTGTATAAAAAGTCAAAATAGGGCATGAGCTGGTAACCCCTAATACTGGAGTGCCGATATCAAGCAGGTTTTCTATCCTACCTGGTCTCTGATGAATCACACCTGATCTCAAGATAAGATCAAGATCAGATAAGACAGAGAACATGCTGGATACTGACACTTCCGAATCAGGGTTGCCAAACCCTGAGATACAGTCTTGTTGAAACTATTTTTGCCTATCGCATCTTGCAGTCCATCACTGTCACACACACACACACACACACACACACACAACTGCAAGTTACACAGCATCCCTAGAGCAACTGGCTTTAACGGCCTTGATGAAGGGCCCAAAGGTGGCATCACTGTGGCAGTCCAGAGGATTTGAACCAGCAACCTTCCAATCACAGACAGAGAAATAGCATTCCCTCGGAGACTGAGGCTGACCCAAGACACCGCCATCTTTTTTGAGAATTGATTGCCGAGCACCAAATCTGGAAGCATGCTGCCATTACAGGATGCTAGTGTAGACATCAGGTGGTGGCGCACCTCTGGTGAGTCAGAACGCTGTTCCATGCTAACCTCCTGTCCCAGGGACATGGCGATGGCTCTCATCATCTGGTCTTCCTCAGACATGGCGAGATCCTACATAAGAAAGTGCAGAGCTTGATGACTTAACAAGACGTAGAATAGGAAGCCTCACAAGAATCAGAAGCTTAAATGCTTTCAGAAGTATGGCCATTTCAAATCCACTTCATATTCTAGGTAAAGAAAGTTTAAGACTGAAGAGGTAGAGTATCAGTAAGGGGAACAGGAGTGTGTTACCCGGACTGTGCCACTTAGCAGGGGTGGGGGGTGTGTCAGCAGGTACTCTGTGGCCTGCTCCATCGTGTTGGTGTTCAGCAGGGCCTCCATGGCATGCTCTCTGGAGAATCCCATATCGATCAGCTGGAGGACAGGCGAGAAGAGGCATCATAAGACATGCTTACTCACTCCCTGTTCACACCTGGTCTTAACATGCATCCTGGGTGATCCGATCGCAAGCGACCATAGGCCTGGCAGTAACATGCGTCTCTGCACGCATCTCAACCGACCGTTTGTAATCACTTTCCCACAACTTAAATAAGCACATAAATCACTTCTGTATGTAGAATCTGCCAAACATTACAAGGAGGAGAAATCAAAAGCTATTGGCACATTCAAGGGTAAACAAACCTCCTAAGACATTTGTAATGCCAAAATACTCAAAATGAAACAAATATATGCCTAAACAAATGAATAAATATTTCAGTCATTGATGTCCTTATATTTTTAAATAACTGCATAAATCTTTCAACTGTCTTTCATAATAACGTTGTGATTTTCGTTTGACAGTATTATAAAATATTTCACATAATGCAAATGTGATTTCTTAATTCAAACTATATTTCACAATAAAGCTAAACTTTTCACATTGTTGGCAAGCATTTTTATACCATGTCAACACAATACAAATGTACGCATTAAAATTAAAATTTTAAAATTAAAATTTGCACGGAACACGCGCACTTTGACATTTCTATGCGAAAGGGTTGCGACAGTCTGATATTAAACCAACTTCCCACTAGATTCAAATTTATTTTTAGATGTTATAGAAAAAAAAAAAGGTGCGCTGTTATTCACAATGCAGTTTACTACACCAGTGGCTCATTCTGCACCGACAGACATTCTGACATCAATCATATGCCGAATACCGTTCACGCATTTAATGAGTACGTACGTTCTTCCGCTCACGTTTACGTCAGCCGAGTAGGCGGTTCTTCAAGTGGCCCAGGACACATTTGCTTTCATACTGCTATAGGAATGCGGCCATATGTGCCCCTGACCACTTTCGAATGTGTTTTGAGAGATCGGATCTCGACGTGTTATCAACGCGTTTTGGGTGCATTCACACCAGAATTTAGTGCTGTCCACTTGTGTTCGGATCACCCAGGACGCATGTTAATACCAAGTGTGAACAGGGCCTATATCCTTAAGCTCTGATTCAGCACAATGTTCCACCATGGCACCTGTCATTTGCCTACGCTCTTTTATGCTGCAGTGTGAAAATCTCCATTTTTTATGCATTAATTGAAAACCCTGAGTAGTATCGGGGGAAAGATCCTCCATTTAAAGTGCAACTTCAACCCCAGTTGTTTTGTTGTACACACACTGCATTGAGAGATTTTATTGTCTTTTTCAGACACCTTGACAACTGCCAGACCAGTGAAGCAATTTTAGCCAGCTCCTTTTGCTGCAGAGAGATGTCTCTCACACATTTTATCATCTGATTGGCTCTTCTGATTGGCCTTTATAGAGAGCTCAGATCAAACTAATGAGAATATCAGCAGATAACAAATCGGAGCATCCTTAATTGTACATAATCCACAAAATCGGTATTTGAGATCGCTCCACTTAAAAGTCGATGAAGTAATTAAGTCTGATTGGCAACCAATTTAAAATTGTCCAATTTTCAATCAGAGCATCTCTATAAAACATTAAATCTTACATTCATTACAAGCCTCAACTGAGGCAGCATCCTGGCTGCTACAACTCATGCATTGTGGGAAAACATAAGTTGCAACAGAACAACATGTGTATTCTACACACAATCCCAGTGCGACACTGTTAATGCTGATCCTAAATCAGCAGCACATTACCTGAGTAAGCTGCTGCTGGTTCACCTGAGGTTCTCTCCTTGAAGCAGAGGACCCCGCCTCTTCAGTTGTCCCAGTCCCAGACCCAGTCCCTCCAGTAGTGGGCCCAGCACCTGCCGCACTAGTCGTCCCAGTTCCGCCAGGACCTGCTGCACTACCAGTACTGGAATCCTCCTCCGGACGGGCCCCTCCTTCCCGCTCCTTCGCCAATCGCTCCTGGATTACAGGTTCTCCCCGAAGGATGTGGCACAGGATTGCCAGCATGGACTCTGCCATGCGGCCGCCGTACACCTTCAGGGGCTTGCGGTTCCACAGGTTGCGGATGCAGCCGAACGCGGCCTGTAGGAGAGGTTTACACGTAGGCCGCAGGTCAACATGCATCCTGATAAACATCCAGCAAAGCCAAAAAACCCCACCCACTGACAGTTACACACCATCTCCAGAGGGTCCAAAAAGGAGAAACAGCTTAGGATCCATTACAAGGCAAACATAAACCGCAGAAGATAACAGCTGTATTCAGGCAGATGTGCTGTGTAACAGCGAGCATTTAAGCCAAGAACATACAATCGAAAAACACTCAAAAAGATACAATGCAAGTTAAGCACAATCAGTGCTCCGTGTACAAACAGCTGGTGGTTGGATCTCCCCAACAAATTCTCATTCTGCCAAATCAAATACAGCTGCTAGATGGATTTTAAACTTGGATTTTAAGTATAAAATGGCAGAAGAATACTCAAACGGGCGTGGAAAAAGCTTTGGCGTGAGGCTACTGATATCATACCCACCTTCTGAGTGACTATGAGGAAACGCAGGGCGCTGAACTGGGGTGTGACAGGGCCCGACCCGGGCACCTTGGCAGGCAAGGCGTGGGGCGAGTCCAAAACTGTCGCTGGATTCACCATCTTCTCCACCAGCATGAGCCAGGCGTCCAGGAACTCGCCAGTGCCATCTGGCAGCTCCGGGTGCTCCAAGCCTTCAGATACTGGTACCTTACCTCCCATGGACAGTGCCCAGTTAAACGTCCTACAGAGGGAAGGTGCCACGAGCCATGGTCAAAAACGGGCTGATGTTTGAGTTTGTACAACAGGGTACAGAAAGAAGCACACATTTGGTTCTGGGGTAAGTGCTTCAAAGTAGCCCCTCAGGGAACAGAAAAGGCCATAATATGCTACAGAGTGTGGGCTTTTATCTCCATGGCTCCAACACCCCCATCCCTCGCAGCAGCGTATCGATATGCCGAGTTCTGAACCGGCTGATACCAGCAGCACTCACTCGAACAGGGCATCGTGACCCCCGGAACAGAAGAACTTCTGCAGCATGAGGTGGTAGGGGTACTTCCTCTCGTCAAACAGCATGGGTGAGGTGAAGCCCACTGAGCAGATGAAGAACGTCAGCCTGGGGAAAGCACAGATGCAGCAGGTTCAGTATTAAATATGATCTGACTGCCAGAGCAGCCGCCCTCTAACAGTCACCAGCTGCCAAAGCTATATTACATAAGGCAAACACTATAATGCGATCAACAAGTCCACTTACTCACACTTGGCCTGCTTGCCTTGTACTGTGCCCGAGCACGATTACCCCCCCCCCCCCCCCATTCCCCTCCTCGTCTGTGCTCACACTACGCTTATTATTCAGGGCCTGAACATGCTTTTGTCATCACTGTGCGACTTTTGTGTGTTGAATAACTAACAGGAACGGCTAGCGCACGGCACAATGCAATTCCAGATAAATATCCTAATTTTGCAGCTTATTGGGAGTCTTTTTGCCGTTCGATGACACACGACCCGGTCATAGATTTATCGAGTATGAAACCCAGTGTTTTTCCAAAGTGATTCCTTCGCCGCCATGTTTGTAAAATGGCCTGTCGCATCACCGACTTCATATCCGAGTTCCGTGCTGAAACACGTTTAGCAATCACACTAGATGTGTACCGTGCCCAAATCTATACCATACCCAGACCCACCTCTACAGGAAGGCCCAGGCACGGTACGGAGCGGTTATACTAGTTAAAATTGACTGGACTTTGGGGGTCAAACAAGCGAGAATGGACTCGATTCGAAATGGCAACAGAAGAGAAGAAAGCAAACTTTAAAATAAAAAAAATTAAAAACGAGAAAAAAGAACTTTCCTACTGCCCAGAACTAACCGGAAGCGGGGCGTGGGTGTATAGGGAGGCGGCTGCCAGCTGAGCCCCTTGGTGAGCAGCTTGGTGAGGGAGGATGCGGTGGCACGGGCGGCAGGCGTGGGCACAGTCCCAGCGCTGGCAGCATGGTGGGAACGCCGCTGCCGCACCGGAGAGCCGACACACAGCTTCACTAGCAGGCCAAAGAGCTCCGCCAGGGCCCGGCCTAGACGGGAGGAGGCTGGAAACAGAGGCCACAGATAAGAGCAGGGTTTGGAAGTCCTCAAGATGAAACTCGGGTACACAATCAGCAGCAGCGGGAGGAGGTCAGATGGGAAGCCCTTGAGATAAAGCACGAACCGGAGAGCAGCGGCTTGATCTGCTTGATGCGGGCAGCCATGGCAGGAGTCAGCTTGGACTTCGTGGCCTTGGGGTCTGCGGCAGCCGTGGGCTCGTCAGTCTCCATGGGGGCCAGCGTGTCTCCATCCAACCCCATGCCTTCGAGCAGAACCTGCGCGGAGGGGTCCACACCTGCCCCGCTGTCGCTTTCGCCCTCTCCTGGTGGCGCGGGGAAGAGCACCCGGACGTGAATACATGTGTGTGAATCATCTACATATTTAGGAGATGCTTTTGTCCAAAGCGACACACAAGTGTGGCAAATAGTACATTGCAAACATTCAAGGAGTCAACCAACTAGGCTGAGCTTTCAATGAATGTCAAGGAATAGGTGAAAGCAGTTTTGGAGCAGGAGCTACACAACAGCTATACAACTACACACAACTATTAAAGTACTGATACTAAACTAATAAGATAACAGGCCAGTAAATATTCTTCGAATGCTTTTGTGATGCAATGAGGCAAGTAGAGAAGCGAATCCCTGAGCAAACGTATTTGACATTTGATTTTGCCAAGTGCTGTAGTTGCATGTTAAGTGTCTTAGCAACAGAACCCCTCACCAGCTCTGCGGACTCCAGCGGTGGAGACAGGGGTCGTGCTGTTGGTGGTGCTGCTTCCCGTGGGTCTCTCCTCCTTGGGCACCAGCTTCTGCATGTCAGCCTGGCCAAACTCACAGCCTGGAGGCAGGCTGACGAACACAGAGGTGCAGGCAATCACACATCAGCCACCATTTCAATTCTGTTTACAAAACAAGAATGTCAAATATATTTCCACAACGTGCGCTTTTTTCTCCAAGATGTGCGGAAACTGAAATGTCTCTATAATGTAAAACACATATTATAGATCCGCACATTTTTTGTGCAGCTGTTAATCAGATAAGCAAATTTGACGAGTATTCTGACACCACAGGTAATACACATGCAGGTTTATACCACCACTTCTGTAACGCTGAATATCAGTTCACAAACCTACATACTTATTTTAATTACTAAGGACATCACTGTGACAGTGAACATATACTGGCTTCTTATTTTGCCACAGATCATCATGATGCCATAGCACAGAATTTTCTCCAGCCCAATTACGTGGGCTGTGCCATTCCAAGGACCTGCAGCCAGGTCGTAGATGGGGGGCTGGAGCTAGCAGGCTGGAGCTAGCAGGCTAGCATCTGTTTTGCGTGTGTATTGTGACTGCTGACCTGTTGGGTGTGCAGAGGGACAGCAGGACTGTGCTCTCCCACACCAGGGAGCAGTACAGCTGGCTGAGTTTGCTCAGGACGTTCAGACCCAACTGAGAGCCCCACTGGTTGACAGAGATGGCCCGGATCTCACTCTGCCATCAGAAGGAAAGACCGAAGAACCACATTCAGTATAGGAGTCTCTAAGAGTACAGAGGAAGATGACTAGTAAACAAGCACGACAAGCACACTTAGAGTCTCACCTGACCGACTCGGCAGGTGTGCACAAACATCATGATGTAGGCGTGCGCCGCGGTAAGAGCGTGCAGCAGGGGTGTGGCCCCAGCAGACAGCGTTGCGTCAGTCACATGACCTGCCGTGGCCAGCTCACGCAGCAAGACGGAGCCACCAGGTGCCTCGATGGGCCGGTGCAGCGGCTCCAGCAGAGACAGGATCAAGTCCAGCTGACACAGGCCCTCCTGTAGCACCTTGGGCTCATGGGACAATGTCTAGAGCAGGAAGAGGACATTCTTTTTCAGAAAATACAACTGCTTAAAAACGTTAATAAATTGCTGGGATCAAAATTTACCCCAAGAATGGATGAGGAATAAAACAGTATCTATATCTGCCCCACACTCCCACTCTCACCAGAATAGACTTGCACACGCCTGCGACGGCTTGGCAGGCAGCAGAGGTGGGAAAGTCAATTGGCAGGTTAGGCAGGCCCAGGATGGAAACCAGGGGCAAGAGGCCCTTCTGCCTTACAAACTCCTGACAGTGGTCATCTGTAGTGTTGTTGCTCAGAATGGACTCCACGAACTTCATCTGGGGGGGTAGGACAGGAGTCAGGACAGGAGTCAGGACAGGAGTCAGGACAGGAGTCAGGACAGGAGTCAGGACAGGAGTCAGGACAGGAGTCAGGACAGGAGTCAGGACAAATGCTACAAGGAGTCTGCCGTAGGGCTGGGTGATATATCACAACGGAAACTCAAAAGATCTCAGAAGATTATACAGTTCACCACACTTGATGATCAGTTTTTCTGTAGTTAAGGAAAGCGGCTTTCAGCGATTACTAACAACTAAGTAACATAATACATTTCAAATGTGTAGCTAACAGCAAATACTAAACTGCCTAACTAGTCTAACAAGTAGTTATTTTAAATGTGTAACTAAAAAATGTTATAAATTTCTGATGGATAAAAATCACAATTTCCTGAGTTGGTATTTTCCTATAAAAAAAAATATTTTGATTTCTCATATTTTTGGAATGTAATTTCCTTATCAGTGCATCACCAATGCAAATAAAAGAAATTCCAACCAATCATATGGCAGTCTTAAGAACTGACAATGCACAGCAAAAATGGACTTAGTGAAGAACTGAAGGACACCTCATGCTGCCGTGTTGCCAATATGGAAAAGATGGGCTCTCCAGAGGAGACTTCAGTGTTGGTGAAGTAAGAGCTCAGCAGTCATAACATCTTTTTTAAATAGAGATATTGCGAATAAGGTAAAAAGACGTCGGCGGCACAGCAAACTGGTATTGTGTACTGTAAACTGTCAGAAACTTGTGCCAAATAAAACAGGAAATACTACAATCTGAAGCACTGCCAACCAGTAGACAATACAGAATGCAACTGGACACAGCATTTTATTTTTCAAAATATGGGATGGGTGGCAGCTGTACCAGTAATGTAAATCCCATTCCCAGTCACACAAAGAGCCCAACAGCAAACCACAATGATTTTTTTTGGTGTTACACCCTGTGCCGAAAAGGTTTTGTATGATTCATTAAAATTAGAACTGTTAGCAATCCGCTCAACCGTAGCCTTTTTCTCATATTTAGAATCAGTTTAATGGGAATTCCAAGGGAATTTTACGCAAAATGGTCCCCTGAAGTAAATGACAGCGTTGTCAAATAGTAGTGAAACAAAAGTGAAAATTATCGATACTGAATAACATGAAAGCATTGTCATGGTAAAATATTTTGCCATATCACCTGCCCTAGTCTTGAACCATCATTTTCGTTGCCTCACTGTCAAACAGTGGCATTTCCACAAAACAATAAGCAATTTAAGTAATTTTATCTGTAAACAGAAAAGATGATTCTATGCACTTGTAATGACAGTTATGAAGAAGTACTGATGGATAGGTCATGATGTCATCTTAACGTTCAACCTTCACTTTTGGCTTTACTGCTGATCATGGAGCATTTATGCCAGTGAGAGAGGAGCAGAAAAAAGCAAACCGCCAAACAAGAAAATACCTGCCACACCTCCTGAGGACGTGAAGGGCAGGGAAAAGCTGGTGGCTTACATATGCATCACTCCTATCTGTGAACCTCAGACCAGCCTTGCTGAAGTTATTCTGTTCCCTGCTGTACTCTATATTTCAGCAGTTTTGTTTGAGTTAGTTCTCATTTGATTTCGTTTTATTTCACTACCAGAAACCACTAGAAATAGAGAAGAAAACCTGGAGATTTTAAGTAAGGCATTATTTTCACATTCATCATTTGTATTCCCCAGGGATATGCTGTCAGGAGAACACTCATCTGAACACCAGGGGCAGGTATACCAAATGACAGATTCCTCCCAGAAGTGGAAGCAAATGAGGTTAAAAATATTATAGACAGATTGGCGGTAAAAATTAATAACAGCTCAAAAATGACCAAGCATGAGGGTGTAAACCCTTAGGTGTTTATCCTACCCTGACAGATGCACAGCTCCTAAAATCTGTGAAAACCTGTCAAATTTAGACACGGTCTGAAACAGAGCAGTGCGGTGACTGGCCTCTCACAATATACTGGCCATCACTCGCTCAGAGAGTTTGGCTGCTCCCTCAAGCCCACTGGCAACATGCCAGAGTAGCAGCGGAAGCGGAACAATATGTAATTATGATATCCAATAATTCACTAGCACTATTTAGAATGTGTTTCAATAGCGCAGTGTAATAGGTATAGTAGTTATCAAGCATCTTCCTTCTGAACAGAATGTTTTATCCAACCGCAGGTGGTCAGACACTCACCACATTCAGTATGTAGTCCATCAGGGGAATGGGTATCCTATCTTCTGTGCCAACAACTCTGAAGATTAAAAATGGGTTAGTTAAATACATACATCATCCTTCAAAACCACAAGCACACAAATGGAATGATTCAACGTAAACCCACTGTCGATTGCTCTCCAGCTCCCCCTGCTGCTGCGTGAAAGAGTGCAGAGCTTCCTCCTCTTCCTCATCTTCGCTGGAGGCCTCCTCGGCAGCATGGCTGGACCGGGCTGGTGGTGCTGAAGTAGCACCATCCGACTTCTGGATGGAAGGCTTCTGGCATATGTACTCCGGGGCCCGTCCCAAGCTGCAGATCTCCTCCAGCAGCTACGGCAGAGATATGCCGTTTACGGTGTGGTCCAGGTGACCGTCCCCGTCATTACACCAATTCGACCAATGCATCTTGCATAGATACCGAATCTAATTTGGTAACAGCGTTTACACTTGACAAAGGTGGCATTCTCACCTTGATTATTGCAGCCGTTGCATCTGTTTTGAGAGTAGGTTGGTGTCTCATCAATTCATCCACTGCACTACCTAAGTTTGAAGCAGTATCACCTGGAACGGAGCCAAAGATGAGCCTCAGGACTAAGAGGCCAAACAAGGACTCAAGAGGCAAGGGTCAATAGCGGGTCTCAGACTAACCCAAAGGATCTGAGCTCCTACGGCGCCTCATGGCAGGAAGATAATCTGGGGACAACAACACCTTGAAGAGGCGCTCAAAGGGCTGGCACTGAACAAAGGAGTGCAGGCCACGGGCGTTGAGGCACAGGGCACTGAAGACATTGGGGAGCGAGCCCAATACCTCCCGTGTGGCAGGGACCTGCAGAGAGAGAGACTGTGAGAGAGAGAGGAAGAGAGAAAGCAGTGGAGGAAGAGAATGAGAGACAGATGGCAGGGAAAGGGTAGACTTGGAAAAAGCCAATATTTCACAGGGAATTCCAAGGATGTTTAATGTCGCTTCTCAGGTGGAATTGCAATACTTACAACAGCCAATTAATTGTCATAAACAAAAAGCATTTGTTCCCTGCCATGTGGATCAAGGCTGGTAGGTGAGTCAAGTCTCAGCGTTCCAAAATAATTTAAATAAACAAATACATAAAAATATTTGGAGGACCTGTAACTAGACATTAATAAGGAATAAATAATGATAGTATACAATATTTACAAAAAATGTAATGTGACAACTGGGGGATACATGTAGTGGGTGTCTGATAGAATGAATCACAGGCCACATCAAGCTCTACTTTCCCAATTTAAAAAGAATTGAAAAGACGAAAACCTGAACTCTTCTGCTTGAGAAAACAAAGCTAATTTGATGGTCAACCAGAATGCTATTCCATTTCTGTAGACTGATATCCTTCTGTGAGAGAATCCTCCTTTTTACCAAGGGTATCACATCGCGATATGTGCACTTTACATGAGTAATATCGGGATATTTCAAAAAAACAAAACATGAGGTGAAATTACCCGAAGTAAACTACAGTTGACCCTTCCATATTGCAGGGGATAAGGGTGCAGGCCCCTTGTGATCTGGTAAAGCCACAAATTTTTTGCCCCCCTTGGCAAGCAAAGAGAAGAAATACGAGAAACATGAAATACAAAGATGCCTGCCAGATCACTGAGAGCATGTGAAAGGGCTGCCGTAAACACGCTTGGCATCCTCCAAATCAGCACTCTACATACATTTTTGTGTCGTCTACTGGCCTTCGTGCATCATCTGCAGCTTTCCCAAAACTCACAAAAATGTTTCCATTTCATTTTCTTATGCTGACCCTGTGATATATCGAAACTGCATAGGGAAAGTCGCTGATGCAGAAGGGTTGACTCTATAATCAATAGAGGCAAATAAATAACTTGGTGATGTTGTTGTTAGTTGTGTCAACAGACGCAAAGCAGTGCTGACTAATTACTGCGCATGTGCACATCACGGTGACGATGCTGAAACAATTTTATGATGCAATCCTACTTTTTACAGTTACATGGATGCAGCCTGGGGGTGACATACAGTGCTGGAAAAAAATTAACAAACCACTATATATTTTTTTTTAATAATCTGCATTTGTAAATCCTGGCTTAATCCTGGTTCTGCTGGCAGGCGGCTACGCCGAGAAGCAGGTTTCTTTCAGGCTCAAGGTTTCAAAGATAGCAGCACACAAGAACAAGCTGAAGCAGGAGATGCTGGCAATGACCAAAAAATAGCCAGACAGAGGGGAGAAGAGACTTTCTAACGCCAGAGATGACTGGCAATTTATCCGGCAGTGCCTCATAAATCAGTGGATGACCTCAAGTGACCTTCAAAAAGAATGGGACACATTAAGTGCAGGTGTGAAGTTCACTGCTAGGACAGTTCGTATCAGGCTCCTAGAAGCAGGACTGAAGCCCCATAAAGCCAGGAAGAAGCCCTTCATTAAATGAGAAGCAGGGAAGAGCCAGGCTGGAGTTTGCAAAAAAAAATTTTTTACAGGCACATAACCATGAATAGAGAAATGAGTGAAACTGAAAATTTTGCTTTGGTCCCAATTTTTTCCAGAGCTGTATAATGGAAAATGAATGAGGCGGGAATAATAACCAAAACGTGCAGAAAAAAGGAGAGAGAAACAACAGCGAATAATCGAGTAGCCTCACATCTTTGATGAGCAATGCGTGCAGCATGACATCGGTGAGGCCGTTGTCCTGCAGGGAGGAGAGGAGAGAGGGCTCCTGGAACACGAACACGGTCACCACCTCCGTGGCTGGGAAGGGGGGGGGGGGGGAGGGGGGACACAGTGGATACAGGTCAGATGTCAGAGGGCTGCATATAGACATGCCAGAATTAGTGCTCTAGTGCTGTTGATTTTGCCAGGCAATGTTTGCATATTCATAGACATCAATGACCAGGTACCACAAACACAGACAAGAAGCATAACCATGTAGGATACACATTGAAATGCTCACCCAGGAGGAACAGGGAAGGTCCATAGTACTCGGCATTACTGATGATGTGCTTGAGTGAGGTAGGCAGGGACCCGTCCATCACTGCAGAGGGGCAGGTCAGTTTAACCATGAAACAAAAATACAACCAAGATCTGCAACCCCAATACTAGCATCTCTGCCATTCTAATCATGCTCACCGTGGCGAATTCCGTCAGAGAAGGCAGGATCCTGAATGGCTTTCTTCAGGAAGTTCAACATGGACTTGAGCAGAGCCGCTCTCTGGGGAATACACTGCACACCTGGAAGGAATGGATTCGGCTATCAGCTCTCAGAAAATCAAACATGACTGTTGGAGGCTGCTGGTTTGCAGGAATAGCAGGTCCCTTGACAATGGTGGTTAGCTTTGCTAGTTAACTTTAAAAACACATTACTTGGTTTGAGAAAACAAGCTGAACCTTACCTGCTCTTTGTGTGTATGCGGGGCTGCTCTGCGCACGGGATTCTCCTTCAGGGCGGGGCTCAGCAGAGGTGGACGGGCCAGGGCTGCTCTCCATGGCAACATCAGGCACTGCAAAGCCATCAAAGGTCCCATACAGTCACCAGATGTTTAACACCTGCTTCTCACCATGACAAAGTTTTAAAATAGTGCCTTATTTTTCCCATTGCTTTATCTTGCTATACTCTATTATACCAAGGCACTGCAAAATTCTCAAATCCAAAAGGTCAAAAGAATATTAATTTTCTATAACCACACAAATAGTGCCAGCCAGGAAAGGCGCAGTAGTGAATAAATGCACCAACAGAATTTTTAATTTTAACATTACATAAAATTCCAGATGTAGAACAATTTAAAAATCAACAAAAACTAAATGGAAATGTTTAAGTTATTGGTTGAATAAAGTAGCTAAACGTGTATTCAACTTTTAAAAGCAAATAATTTAAGTTCGAACATGTAAGTCAAATGTGTAGTTACTCTTTGCATTAACCCACTTATAAAATGGTAAGTCACTACATGACATGTGTTCCACATACGTCTATCAATAACTGACACAAATCCACTCATCTCTGTAGTCAGAAATAATAGGCACGCTGAGAGTGGAAGACTAGTATTTAGAGGAAAGTTACTTCTAAACTTTTTTCTCGAGCTATAGAACTAAACACAGCACCCGTCAGAGTGCCAGGGATAGACGGATAAAGCTGCAATCCCAGTATCAGATACCAAGCAATAAACATATTGTCCTGCTTAGCCTATCCTGACAAAGTACAACAGAGCCTGCAGCTTGAGAATAGGAGTAGCAGAGGGCAGCGAATACCAGGCTGACCATCCGTGTCTGTATCCATGTCCTCAGTGTCTGTAACCATGCCAGGCCTCTGAGTCTTTGGCTTGATGATGAATGGGCAATCCTTCCGGGACAGGTCCACCTCATGCTGCAGAAAAGCAAGACAACGCTCGCTTTAAGAGGGACTGGAGACCATCGGATGGGTGGGAAATAAGGTGTGGTGGGGGGGGCACAGCTAATTTACCTCCAGCCTGCAGATGAATATAGAGAGGCCACCGTGGGACTGGAAGGCAGCCATGTCCAGATTGGTGATGAGGTCAACCACCCGGACTGCCCGTGTCACAAAGGTGATCTGGTCCTGCTCATCTCCCAGGAATTTTATCACCTGAAAGCAGCACAGGCCATGCATCAGGGTGCAAGTGAGAGTGGCAGAGCAGAATGTGGTGATCGAACGTGGCAACCTCACATACACTGCAAGAAAGCATTTAAATAAAGGCAAAATAAAAGAGGAGCCCCTACCTTCAGCAGGGCTTCCATCATGCCGCAAGAGACAAGGGCCTCTCCACCAGCATCATAGCTGGCCAGGTGGTACAAAAAGGAGAAGAGCGCTGTGGCAAACTGGTGCGGGTACGGCTCTATTAAGGGGTCTGAGAAACAGGCAGGAGTCAAAAATAGCCGTCGTGGAAATAAAACTGACTCAGTTTAATATCAGAGGCAAAAGGCAAAACAGATGCTTATTTGTAAGGTCCATCGAAGTGAACCTCAGCCAGCCGTATGGGACTCACCGATCATGGCCTGTATGCAGTTTCGCACCAGCACAGGCAGAAAGCCATGGTAAGAGGCCATGCCGGTACAATCAATGATGTTGGAGAGTTTGGGTGTTCTTTCGAGATGCACTATGGAGGTCAGAGTGCGCAGAGAGGCCGCCTTGATGTCCTGAGGACGACAGCATGCATTTTATGTACACAGCTTCGGCTACAACTGACTACAGAGACTCAATACTTCCAAGTTCAAAATATTTGATGCAATCACTGTCCCAGCTGGTTCTGCTAATAAATACTGCACCGAGTCAACTAGTTTAAATGAGCTGTGGAGAAACTTATCAAATACATGGAATGGCTGAGGTGCCCCTGAGGAGAGGTTTGGGAACTGAAGCCGTGTTCATCTAGCCATCCAACTAGATATCAGTAACTTTTTGGAGAACAAGAAATTTAGTTCTTATTGTGTTATTGTTAATTTGCATATGTTCTAATGTTAGTGTTTTTTTTCTCCCCAGAGCAAATATACACTTACTACCCAGATAAATAGCCCTAAACATTGACTTTACTTGTCACTGTTTCACTCAGTACGGTATCTAACCAATACTGCAAAAATATTACATTTTTCAGAAATGATTATGCAGAAATATGCAAATTTGTACCATGCCAATCTTCATCCCAGAAAAAGAATCAATCATTAGGCAGGGGGTTATAAGATGCCCAAGTAAATGTGAACTATTTAAAGAACATTAGCCATTTTGACAAATTTTTGAAGTGATTAATCTGGTATTAATACTTCAATAACATCTATGTCAATAATATCTCACCACCAGATGTTTGTCTGTAATCTGCAGAACATCCACCAATTCCTCTATGAGTCCATTGTAGAGGATGCTGTTTGCAGACTCTTGGAGCGCGTTGGAATAAACTACCATAGAGACATCACAAACTGCCATTAAAAACAGCATAGCATAGCATGTTTTACATCAAACACTTCCACATATTTTTTAAAACTCCTATAAAGAGTACGTATGAGTTAGCCTATTGTTTGAATGAGCCGCAGCCTCATCCTGTTTCACACAAAAGACCGATCGACACCAAGCACTACTCAAAGCAGGGACCTGAACAGCATACAGCCATGACCCAACCAGCAGACAGCTGTGTGCAGACTCACCAAGAATGGAGATGGCATGCAGACGGGCCTGAACGGCCTGCAGTCTCTTTTTGTGGTTGGAGAAGCCGTGTGCCAGGCGGATGTGAGTAAAGAGCAGAGTCTGCTTGTCCTTGGGGATACTGTGCATGACGGTCAGAGACTCCATGATCTCCGACGGACTCTCTGAGATCTGCCAGGTTCAGTCCTTTGTTACCCACTTCATACATTTAATTTTAAGATGACAGAGTACTTTTGAGTTCTAACAGAAGTAGACGGAATTTCCTTTATCATCACACGCACAATTCTACATTGTCGCATAACATTTATCTCATCCAACAGAATTAAAAATAACCAATAAAGTTCTAAAACAAGAAGTTCTGTTTGAGGACAGATCCTCATAACATGTTTTCCAAGCATTCATCTCCTGCATGAGATTTTCCACAATAAAATATATCAAAAGGTGCACATTCACAGTTCATCATCGTCATCATCATTCACGTTACCTTGTCGAGCTGTTCTATATGAATGTAGTGTAGTGTATTACTACTCGTCTGTGGGAGGAGAGGAAAAATTATGTTGCTATTTGATGATCAAACTTAATGCTGCTCAAAATCTGATAATCACCATTTATGTTGTCATCTAATAACCATTATTTATATCGCCCTGAATTATTCACTGAGAGGCAACGTTTATGTTTTATGCTCAGAGATCAACCACTATGAGCAGGTCTCATGTGTAATCAGTTAAAGCCAGAGGAACATACAAGCATTTCATATTATTAAAAAAAATGAAAGCAAGTACTAAATGTACAGGACATTATATATTAAAATTAAGCTAAAATATTGTTAGTTGGAAATGCACTATGGGGCATACTGCCATCCATTCTGTCACAGTCTGGGCACCTTTTCCCCTCTGATACAAGCAAACTTAGATCAGTTTATCTACTGACTGACTAAATGCCAAACAAAGTGGGGCATGAATCAAATACCAGAGAAACACTTAATGTCATTTCTCTCCCTGTCTTATCTTTTTCAGTTCAAACAACATTCAGCTCTGCCTCTGGACAGTCGGCTGGCCTGAATTCCATACCTTTTTTTCCGCTTTAACCTCAGACCCAGGTTCGGCATAAAATTCAAAGTGCAGTGTTGTGGCACTGGGAGGGTACTTCTGCTCACAAAGAAGGAGACCGAGTTCAGAAATGGAAAGTAGTAGCAGTAGTAGTAGTAGCAGTAGTAATAATAATAATAATAATAATAATAATAATAATAATGGCACTTTTTAGAAATTTCATTAAGAAATTAAATGAGTGCCTTATTACCTGCATAAGGAATACCATGATTAGACAGCTTGGTGTGGTGTTTGTTTAAAGGTCACAGAGCATTATTAGACAAATGTACTGCTCGTTTAAGCTCACAGATTTACAATAGAAATCATTTACAAAGCTCACCACCATGGGCAGGTCCCTGCAGCACTCAGCCAGACCAAATCCATTCTCTTTCCCTCCCCAGCTCTAAAGACAGAAGGACATAAACCAGCAACACTAAGACACGTACAAGAAGAACAGAGAGCATGGCTTTTTTTTCTTTAAAAAGACAAGGCAGACCAGCAAGTTTTAGTTAACTTTAGTTAACCGCACATGAAAACTCACTCTCATAATTCTTAAACCAAAGTAGCAGCAAAAAGCCTAAGATGTTTAAAAACACTTTGGTGGCAATTAAACAGGAAGTGGATGCATACTCTCTATTTGCCTCTCAAAATCCCAGCATTCAATACATGACCTATATTCGACAATCCCAAACCTAACCAATCTATATTTGGCCTACATCTGAGAACCACTGCTCCCCCAACTCCACCAGTCTATATTTGACATATCTGCCATTCCCAAACCCCCACTGATCTTTGTACAGAGACAGACCTCTGCCAGGTGCTGCAGGCGCGCCAGCAGAGGCGCCCTCTTGTCAGAGCCCAGCCTTGTGATGTAATTGGACCTCTTGCTGAATACATACAACAGGTTCAGCACGGCCAGGACCACCTGCATGTCAGATGATGCTAGAAGGGTTGTTAGGTGCTGCAAAGACCAAAAGGAGAAACGTGTTAAACACTAGGACTAACTGTATATTTCATTAAACGGCACATTCACACACTAATTTCATCGGTTATAGTCGTAAAGAAGCATGTCGAGTCCCTGTGGCGATAAAGGGGCAGCTGTGAGAATGTGAGCATCTCCGGCAGTCACCCATACCTCAATGGAGCTGTACAAGTGTCTGGAGAAGCTGTACTCTATCAGCAAGGCTGTGAAGTTGAGGACGGCCAGCAGCAGGGCCTTCAGCTGACCATTGTCCACCCGGTCGCACACCAGCAGCCAGGACATGTCCTCCACAGTCTGGCCGGCATCACACAGGATCCCATCAAAGCGGTCCAGTAAGTCCACCCAGTGGTACAGCTCACACTAGTAGACGAGAAAGAGAAGTATCGCAAGACGACCATTGGAGAAAGTCAGACAGGCATGTGAGAATTATATTCAGATTGACCAGATGGAAAACGGAGTCCTCTTTAATACACCACAGAAGCTCTTGCCAGTTTTAACAGAATTTCAGCTAAGAATACTAGTTTCTTCAGATTTAAAGATGGCTAGTCTCATCATAAACATATAAAGAACTGATCTTAAGTCAGCATTAAAAAAGTTTGCAATTCGTAAAATTAATGATTACAAATATAAGGTGTAAAACATTTTGAATGTGTGGGTATTGTGTATATTTTAAATATATACTGTAAAGAGGTCTCATTCTTAGAGTTCAATTCCGATATTAAAACTCCAAACAGCTGCCAAAGCATATTTTTGAACCAAAAAACATCCTGCTCTTATAGCCCTGCCGGTGTGTTATACTTCCAAAAGTCTGCCCAGACACTGCTGAGGCTGCAGCCTGGCCTCAGTTCCCCTCCCTCACCTTTCCAATGTTCCATGTCTTTATGTGCTGCAGCTCCAGCAGCAGCTGCTCGTCGCTGCATCCCTTCAACTTCTCAATAAGCGTCCTGCAGTCAGCAGGCTGGGGTCAGGAACGAAGGAGCTGGATTAGTTTATTACAAGACAGACGTACAAAAACGTGATCAATTCCCCCACAATCCAAACAGACAACGCAGGCAACTTACCGCCTCTGTGGGGGTCTTCTTTAACTTGGTTCTGTCAACTTTCATTTTAACTAGTTCCTACTTCCTGCTCCTAGAGAGAGACAGAGAATATACTCATCACAGTGTGATCTGTAACGTGACGACTGAAGTGACTTTAGGACTGTACTCCCAAAACACTTACTGTGAATAATTTGGCAACATGAATCCAGCATGCCTTCATTCACAAAACCTAAAACAGAGGGGACAGCGCGTGAGCCGTGCTGCTCCACGAAGCATGTCCGGCAGGCCAGTTAAGGTGTTAAGATGCGGACCAATAGTATAGGTGCGAAGATGCATGACATCGCTTGTACTGTCACAAGAGCATGGTTAAACCATAATACAATGTAGGCCATTCTACAGAGAGATTTGGGTATAATAAGTCAAATATTTTTTTTAGTCCTACAGGCTTATTAAAACACCAAGAAAGGCCGAATTAAAAAGCCACAAAAGTGAACAAGGTTCATCTCCATACATGCTCATTTGTATTACCTGTCTGACAAACCGTCACAATGTTATAAACAGGAAATGTCGCACGACTCATCAGTACCACTGTTACACAAACAGTAGTAAGAGTCCAAAAGGTAAGCTTACATCCCGGCTGCAAGGTCTGACAGCGCAGCCACATCAGCCAGCCTGTCCTTTAAATTCCAACACCACACTACATGTAGTACAACCACATGCAGACAAGCACACAGACACAAAGTCTTCTCACACACAAATCCTGACAGACAAAAAGCACCATGTCACACAGCCCTTTAAATACTGGCATTTGCAGGGCTACATGAAATTAAACTGCAGTGTGCTCTGAGGTCTTACAGGCAGGAGGGAGGGAAAAATATTGGGGGATGGCAAAACTAGTTGTCCTTTCTGATCAATATGGGCCTCTAACACAGCAGATTCCACCATTCCCTCCCACGTTCTCACATCGCTGCTCTCCAGGTTTACTGTACTAGTAAGGTTGCCTGAGGTACCTGACAGGTCTTGAACAATTGATAAACTACAGACATGCGGGCCCTCACAAATACCACTGGCAATGCAAGAAGATTTTTTTTTTTATCAGTTCACGCCCAAACAGATGATTTCACTATATATTAACGATCTTAGGCATGTGTAACTGTTTCAATAATAACAATATAGATGAAGTTTAAAAAACACCCCACACACACAAACGCGCGCACACACACAAAAAAGAAACGTCACAAAATAGAAGTTTAACCTTAACGTCGCAATTTAAACACGTATGCAACAATGCGGTACAAATGTTAAGTGCTACGATTATCAGCGGCCCATACTGGTGTCGGAGTTATAGTAAATCGAAAACCAGCTGGCTTTCCATGAGAAGAGGCATATTTAAACCACTCTAGCAGAAAAGAAGTGGAAAACGCACTGTTAATGGCCATCACATGCTAGCCTCCCAATCGAAACTGCTACCTCCGTGTTAGCCATCGAGCCGCCACATTTAGGTCTCCGCACTACGCGGAATAACCGTAGCCCGGTGCAGGGAGACACATACCGCCAATGTAAAGTTGCAAAAACATCCGACTGGGAGCAAATAACTGATCGGACGGTAATTATGCTCTTCCGGAGAAGAGACTTCTCATGGCTGTCAAATCGGCATCAGTCGACCATTAGCCGCTAGCTAGCTACTTTTAGCCCCGTTGCAGCTAGTGAACGCGACAGTCGTCAAAATTATTTGGTAAACCACGGCACCTATTTCTCATTCTGTCGTTTTTTTAACTCCGTAATGTGTAAGTAATTATTCATTCGAGACGGTGCAGCGATCTTAACCTGTGATAGAATGTGCGTACGCGGAACCAGCCAGCGCCAGCCAAGTATTCCACATCCGGAGGTCTCGGAATTAAAGGCTCTACTCTAGCTCCCGGCTTCGATTTAGGCCTCCTGTCCGACACTCCTCCCCTCCATCAGCACATAAACACGAACACACAAGTACAGCCAGACTAATCGAACACGTACACACGGCGCTTATAAATCGTCAGGAACAAAAGCGGTTAAGTGTTCAGCCATTAACTTCACTCTTACGTTAAATACACTGGGGGAAGGATGGAAAGGAGCGTGCTGTGCATCCGCTGAATCATCCACAAGGGCCTATCATGTCACTGAATGTGTCGGTTTGCTGTCTGTGTGTCCGTGTGTGTGTAATGCTTGTTTAGTTGAGGCGCTCTCGTACGTCTGCGTACAGCTGCATACACTGCAATCATGTTTGTCATTATGTATATCAAACATTACATTTCCAGGGTTTCTTTTTTTTTGGTATTCCAGTGGATGATGTTTTTTCCCCAACGATGGTTTTTCTGTCTGCAGTTAATATAAACCGATTGAAACTCGTTACATTCACTTATATTTATTAAATATGTTGAATTACCACTTGCCAATTACGATATATCACAAACTAGTTAAGTACATAAACAGAACAGCATTTCACCAGAACATTGCTATACAAGCCCCAGTGTAGCCATGCCAGTGTAATACAAAGGATAACAGACTTAAAATGTCTTAATGAATCACAAGTTCAATCAGTTCCCCACTACACAAGAAAAATGCTCTCATCTAGTTTCCTCCGCTAATTTAGCTTTGCATCACACACACACACAGCCAAATCTACTGAAAACCCTGATCTCTGCACAACAAAAGTCTAATATACCTTTCCTCACATTTTTATGTCCCCTAATCAACACTGAGAATGGTTATCCTCTCTGCAGTCACACCACTTCATGTATAAAAATATGCTGGATTTCAGATGTATTTCACCAAGTACAGATTTCTCTGAATCAGAGCTGTCACTATCGATTATAGCAATTGGTATATTACTCTATTAATTTGATGATTAATCAAGAAATCAAATAAACATAAAACAATTTTATATTATATATTGCAATTGGAGTGAGACAGGAACCAACCCCCTGCAGGACACACACACATACAGTCTATTTAGGCTCTCCAATTCATTCAACTTGCATTTTTATACAGTGGGAGGACACCAGAGGACCCAGCATAAACTCATGCACCCACAAAAGCAGCACTGCTATCCTCCCTCAATATAAGGCTTGTACATTGTGCAATAATGACATTGCATGTTGTGCACATCTAATTGTCACGTTGCAAGGACCATGATAGGTGGGTTGAGGCCATCAATAGGCTCCGCTGAAATATTTTTACTGTCACAGGAAACAAAACTTAGCAAGCTTTGCAATTTTAATGAGGGTTTCTTTTCAACATTATCTAGTATATGTTTAAAAGCAATTGTAAAGTCTACCATCACTACTTTAGCATGAGCTCTGCATGCACACTCTGAATCAATCATTCTCACGCTTGTTATTTTGACTCACTCACATGCATTTAACAAAAATGGCCGAGGAGGAAAAAAGTGAATGAGAACTTAAGGAAAAAGACATTTGTCTTTCACTGTATGGAAATATTATGGCTGCTATAGAGACAAAATTGAGCAAAGCAAGCGATTTGTTGGCACTTTGTGTCTGATGGCACAAACACCAACAACTTATTTGATAAAACTTATCTACCAATAAAGTCTATTTGGCTATAGCTAATTTTCAACTCGTAAATATAAAAAAAAACTTTAAAAACTGCAATGAACTTTTCCAATTAACGTTTAGTCCTACTCAAAACACACAATACGCTCACAAAACTAATAAGTATTATATGGTTATTAGGTAACATAGGGGTCGGCGATTTTCCCAAAAAAATCATATCACAATCTTTTTAAACACACAATCCAATCCACAATATCAATTGTGATATTTCTTCCCAATTTTGAAATATACTGCAAGAATATATAGACTCAAACAAGCCTGAATTATAACCATTTAAAGCACAGAAGTCTGCAATATTGTTTTCAAAATGGTCATTAGAACCTGAGAAACGTTATTTAAAACTGTGGTAAAAGCAGTCAGACAACCATTGAATAGCACAGATTTTTCAGCACTGACAAAGTCCTTTTTTGGCACCAGCTCCTTGTTGGCCATGTCAATAACTCACATTTAATTTGTTTTTCAAATATGTCATGCATGAAAGAGACTCTGTGATAGAGACGCGTGATGTAACTCAGCCAATCAGCACAGCCATCTAGAAGGAAATCATTCCATAGGTTTGTGAACGTAGCATGGATCCATGTTATTACTGGCAATCAAAGTTTTATGAGAAGTCTGGAAACATCAGTGGGAGGATATCACAGGTCACAATCTCTATGATGATGAAAAGTAGAATGTAGACATCTTCTGACAAAGTTCTATTGTGATCGATCTTGATGACCACCCCTAACGTACCATATTATGCAAGATGGTGTGGCTAAGCAACAAGGTTAACTTCCGGTTTAGCAGTGATTATTTTGAGACAGGAATAATAGAAAGTAAATTAAGCAAAATGATTTACGTTAAAGCGATTACAAAAACAGGCTAGGCTTCTCTGGGAGGCTAAATGTCACATATCTACAGCTAACCTCAGATTACTGAGGGAGTTTGTCAAACTTGAATGTCTTAAAATGTAGTTGCATTGCAGCTGTGCTGTGGTGATATTTAAGTTCTGCTTTGCAAATCTGACAGATGACTGCATTTTCTTTCACTTTTAATGTGAAGTGCTTCCACACAACCGACGCTTTCGGTCTATATTTGGACCTGATCCATTATACGCCATCTTCCTTCTGCTATATTGCAGAGTAATTGACAAGGCGAATTTTATCAATACTTTTTAAAAAAAATCACGTAATTGTGACACTTCTGATGTAAAAGCTGACTAGAATCCTATGACAGCATATTCATGTAGTTACTTAAAGGTTCAGCTGGCACATATATCATACATATGTGACAATTTGAGATCTGTAAAAGACGTGAAATTTTGGGGGAAAAAAAAAATTGTATGTGAAGCACAAAAAGGACATTTATCATAAGATTATCACCGTTTCCTATATTCACTATCCAGTTTACAGAAACCAACACCCTTGGTTCATCTATACCTTTCATGGTTAAACTGGCCATCTAGCTCCTCATTGCAATAGTCAGTTCAGTTTTCCTAGAGAAACTTATAGGCTGAAAATAATGAACAGTTATCTTCACAGAAACAAGTCAAGAATTCCTCTCGATCCTGATGTGAAGAAACACCCCTTTCTACTTCATGAGACCACATCTTGTAACAAAATATTTGAATTATTACCAGTTGTTAATGGTAACAAATATATTAAATGCCTTAGAAACACAGGCCTAAAATATTTTTGAAGATTCAAACCCAGACATGGGGATTACACAATTTGGTTAAATTCTGTATGAACTGTATCTGATACTGCAGTTTTTACTACACTGGAAATTGTTTTTAAGAGGACTCCTTTCATCCCTTTATGTCCTAGATTACTTTTATTAGCAGATGACTCTGACTTGACCACCTCAAAAAAAGCCATATTGAAGGGTTGGTTTGAGCCTAATGTTAACCTGTCCACTGTGTGGCATTCCTACACTTTGGACATTTTGATTCTTGAACATGCTATAGCAAAATTCCATAAGGCTACTCCAAGAACAATCAAGAACTTGTCAGCTGCTATAACTTTCTTCAAAGGTTCAATATTATAATTCCCTTTGTATAAGCCGTGTGTCTAAGTCATGCGTAAAACAGATTGTCAATGACTTGCGTATTTGTTTTACTTCTTTCATGTCGAGCAGTGTAGTGTTTTAAGTGTAATTGTCTTAAAGCAATAAATACATAAAAAAGAGGACCCCTTTCACATTCCACACAGCATAGATGAGGTTTCTGCAGCTGTCTAGTATAAATCTTTAAAATGAGTTTAGTCACATATGGTTTAGAATGGATCAAGTTTAGGAATTGGAAAGGAGCTACAATGGTTATTAATGCAGGTGGTCAAATGTCAAGTTTGCCATTCAAACTTTAAAACCACCTTGAAGGTCAAATACTGAAACTGCATGTGAATAGCTTAATACATTTATGAGCCAACTGCTTCTTATAAGCTTCAACAGATTTATACAGGCAGAATAAACAATGCCCAACACACTGTAAAACAAAAGATACCAACCATTTACTAAATCTTGTAAACAAATGATGTGCCACTTTACAGTTCAATATTCTGCTTTCAGCAGACAGCTTGCTAGACAGAAATTGCTAAAGTATTTTAATACCACATAACGATAAATTTACTATGCACGAGCTGAGCAATATGGCTATATACACGTCCCACTTTTTCACACAACATAACAGAATACCTCGATGCATTAGTTCTTTTTTTTAAAAAAAAAAAGGACTTAAATTAGCAGTAGTAAGTCTTACAGTTCACCGCCTATGGTGATTTTCCGTTTATTCCAGCACACCATTATCGGTTGTCCTTCATGTTAAAATCTTAAACACAGTCATGGAAATTCTCATACCACTTACTCATGTCAGTAGGAGCGACTTAGGTAATACATACTGTACAACATGTATGTGACAAACAATCTTGAGTCTTGAATTGTGTACCACTGAAGCCTACACAATGAAAATATTTAGGGTATATCTTAACCCTGCACTCAGGCTTCTAATGAAAGGCTACTTTGACATCTTCCGAAGCAGCAGAAACTCGTGCAAAGACATAATTCAAAATACTGCACACACACACACACACACACAACTTCTTTCCATTCCATAAATTTAATGCAGAACATTATGTGAGTATTTGATGGTCAACCTGCCAGTCATCTCCTGGCATCGGGTCTAGCACAGTTACTCTAATTAAATCATAATGCGGTTCTGGGCACCATGGAGGGTATCTGTTATTCAAGGGTGTAAATCATTAGAAATGGTGGTCTTCCTGCTCATGTCTGCAACAGTCTTCCTTTTCCCTTATTGGTTCTAAAGCAAACTCCAATTTCTAACTGAAAATCCAATTAAAACATTAGAAATCATACATCCGGTCTTTGATTGTACCCTTGAATCAAACCAAATTACTTCACCGGTACTTTCATGATGTAACAAAACAGCGAGACTTGCTCACAGAAAACCAACTCAGTGATTCACATCTCTGCTAACACTTTGCAGGACTCAGCATATTTTTGCACAGAATGACCTGAAATATTTGAGGCATCTGATAAAGAAACTTCCTGGAATTAAAAACAGTGCATCTTAGCTCTCCCTGAACAT